TTTCCCTTCTTTTTCCCTTCCTCTTCTTCTCCTCGCTCTAGAAAACCGCTGCTGACGATCTTGTTGACGTTTCTGGGCGCATCGTCGTGGCGCGCGGAACAGGCTCATTCCTCGCGCTGCTCGAAGAGCTCTCCTCGCGCTCGCGAAGGGAGATCCGCACCCCGCTCCATCCGGAGAATGTTGCCGCACAACATCGCGCCCCGCTCTCGAAGTTGGAAGCCAAGCTCACGGAGCTGCTCGAGCTGATCGACGACAACGCCGCGGGGGCACAGCGCTGGACGCACCGACTGAGCGCGGAGGAGAACGAACGCTGGTTAGACGCCAGGGAGACGCTGCAGGCCGAAAAGGTGCTACTTGGCGTCGCGGCGAAACGGTATGCTGGGCGGTTTCCACACAAAGGGGGTGACGCGATCGAACGGTGGTCATGGCGTCAAATGAGGTGGATCTTGCTATTTGTCTCGGCGGGCCGCGTAGCCGAGATCGAACGATAACAGTGAGATGCGGATCATGGCGATGTTTGCGCTTGGTCCGATTGCGGTCCTGCGTCGACAGCGTGCTGCTTGATCCACTCCTGGAGAATCGTCATGAATGAAAAGCTTTGTCAGTACAATGACCCGTCCGTATGGGTCCACAATCAAGTTACTCACCTCATCATCCCAAACGGCCCTCCCACTTCTCCCTCCTCCGCTGCTTTCCTTGACCTTGCTCGGATCGGCCAAGTTGACCTGAATCGTGCGCCCCTCGATCGCGTTGAGGTTCATGTTGTCCAACGCATCCAGCGCGTCGTCGGGCGTGGAGAAGGTGATGAATCCAAAGCCCTTGTTGCGCTTGCCCGCCGGGGTCGAGGTGGAGGGCACCGAGATGGAGACAATGTCGCCAAAAGGGTGGAAGTAGGAGGCGAGGGAGGATTCGTCCAGGGACGGGGGGAGGTTGCCGACGTATATGGTTGAGGACGAGGCGCTCATTGTGACGGTAGAGGGAACAAGGCGCGGCGAGAGATGGTGGTGCAGGGAGGAGGTCGTCAAGGGTTCAAGGGGAAGATTCAACACGCCGGGTTCCGCGAAGTCGTCGCAGTGAAATATTGATACAAAGAAAATCAGAAATGCCGCTCAAAATTGAGGTCAATTAAATCTACAAAGCTCTCGCCTCAACCCCACAGAGCCAAATGGTCCCTGGCAGCCTTATTGTACCTCCCACCGGCCGTCTTGAACTGCTTCACCTTGTCGTCCAACTTCTTCATCGTCTGCGCATCCAACTCGATGTTGGCCGCATCGGCGTTCTCCTTGGCCCTAGCAGCCTTGGACGTTCCGGGCAGAGGCACCAGCACGTCGCTGCTCTTGATCAACCAGGCCAGACCCAGCTGTGTGGGTGTCACTTCGGGCTGATGCTGTGCGGCAAGCGTCTTGAACTCGTTCGCGAGCTCGAGGTTCTTGGCTAGGTTCTCGCCGTTGAGTCGATCCATGTGGCGACGAATATCGTTCTCGGGCAGATCCTCGGGTTTTTGGATGTTACCGCTCAAGATGCCCTTGCCGGTCGGCGAGTAGGCGAGGATAGGAATCTTCTGCTCCGCGCAGTAGTCCACAATGCCGAGGTTGAAAGCGTCGAGTTCCCAAGGGCTGACCTCCAGCTCGACGCATGCGATGGGTGCGACGCTCACCGCCTCTTTGATGCTCTCCAGTCCGAGCTCGGACAGCGAGATGTGACCGAAGAGCCCTTTGCCTTTGACCTGCTTGCCGTTCTCATCCGTGTACGTCTCGCTGGACAAGGCAAGCATGTTGTACATGATCTGCTTCACGCTGGAACGCGGATCGCGACGAGCCATCTCGTAGACATCGATCTCCTTACCACCCTGGTCCGTGCCCAACTGCTCGCGAATTCCCTTCAGATCCGCCTCCAACCCTTCAACGGAGGAGTCCGGCTGCAACCCGCCCATCCCCTTCTCTTTGTAACCGGAGATCGACATGCCGCCTTTGACAGAGAGGACCGTCTTGGCCTTGTACTCCGGATGAGCCTCGTAGAATCGGCGGAGGAGCTTGAGGTTGGCATACGGGTCCGACTGGGGGCCGTAGAATGCGCCCGTGTTGAGGAAGTTGGAGCCGGAATCGACGGCAGTGCGGATGGTCTCGAAGGCTTGCGAGTCGGGGGTAGCCTGCGAGGGGTCGCACCACGACATGCCCATGCAGCCAAAGGCGACGCGGCCGACGGCGATGGAGGATGCGCTGCCGCCAAGCGGGATGGTTGGGATGGGCGCCATAGTGGTGATGGTGTTTAAGGAGGAGAAGCGTGAATGTATTGGCTTTGGGGAGAAGGGAGGAAGAGATGAGCACCGTGGAGCGGCTGGTACTTATACCCGTGATGCAGCTGGCAGGGCTGAGCAAGGAAAGCTGCGATAAAGACAAGTCCCGGCAGAAGAGCTTGAGATTACAGCGCAGTCTGACCTTGCTCATGAAGCAAACGGTTTCGAGGCATAAGCGACCTCCACGGAGCAGGCAGACCCCGCGATCATACCGCGGCATCCGGCGGGTGGAGGTGGAGCTCGATTTTTTGCAAAAGTTGTCAGATCGAGGTTTCTTTTTTCAAGAGCCTGTGTTTTTTCGAGCCCAAAACGGGGTTTATTTTGCACGTGATGGCTTAGTTTGAGCCAAGGCGCGTCGCTGCTGTGCGCTGTTGTGACAACACCCTGCCTCTGCCCGAAATTCACTTTTTGACAGCAACATGACAGCTCGGTAGGACAGCCTTGACTGCAGCCAGCTTTGCCTTCGTCACCGTACTCGATCATCCGGCTCGGACGGTGTGAGAGCAAGCTTGGTGGTTCGAGACGATGGCGGCGATGGCTGACAACCACAAGTCAATTTGAGTAAAGATGCAGCGTAGGATTGAGCCAAGGCGGGCGAAATGAAGCATGTTGGGTTGGCTTCTACTCTTGTGCATCCGCCTTGCCAGCTCTACGCAAGCCCGGTCGAGCGGATGCAGGAGCTTGCATGATTTTCAGCCTCCCCCGTTCGACGCAAGGCACCTTCCGTCCGCACAGCGCCGCTTAACGATCGCACAGGCAAGACCTTCTAACCCTGACGCAACCGAGTCGACGGAAAGAATCCTTTTCGCCTTTCCGTGCAGTGACGGTATTTACCCTGAACCTCGACCACAACGTCCAGCAGGACTGCAGTAGCTCTTGCTTGAACACAACAGCTCTCCGCTTTCTACTTTGTGCTTTTCCTTTTGCTCTTCATCATCTTCGACCTTCGCTTTCCTACCTTCTTCACCCAAGCATCACTGCTGCGCTCAATTCTTGCTCATCGTACATCAAGGAGGCAAGTGTAGACGCTGCTTCACAGACCTTGACTGGCGAGGTCATTGTCCACCATCACCAAAGCAATCAGCACCAGTATCTTTCGTCAGCACACACCATCATCTCGGAAGAATCGCAAGACAGGCTAACGATACAGCACTATACCCAACAGTCAGCTTTCAACGTATCTCTTAGCAGCACCTTCAGCACAACACCTCCCCATCGTCCAGAACCGGCAGCAGCTGGTCAAGCTTCGCCTTCACCATGGCGTCCACAATGTCGACAGGGCCCTCCTCTCTAGCCCATCAGCTTCCAGCTCACCCTGGCTTTGCTCGCACCGCCGGCGCTCCCACCGCATCTTCACTCCCACCACGTCCCCGACCCGCCTCGACCATCGCCTCCAAACAACCAGCCACCGGCGCCGCTCCCGGCACCACAAACGCAGCCGCTGCCCCCTCCAAATCCTCATCCAAGAAACCGGCGTTGCCACCGCCGCCGAAAGTCATCATCGACTCGGAAGGACGAGCTTTCAAGCGTGGTGATCTGCTGGGTCAGGTAAGTTCCCCTTCACCCCCACCCATTTCCTCCTATTACAATCGCTGATCTATCTCATTCTGGATGTAACGCTACAGGGAGGATTTGCACGCGTCTACATGGCCGTCGATCCAGAAGGTCGACGCAAAGCCTTCAAAGTCATCGCCAAATCCGCCATTGCCAAATCGCGCAAGAATCGCCAAAAGATCCTCGCCGAGATCATGATCCACAAATCCGTCGACCACATCCACGTCGTCAAGTTCGAAGACTGTTTCGAGGACGATACCAACGTCTACTTCCGACTGGAGCTGTGCCGGAACGGGTCGTTGAACGATATCGTCAAGAAACGCGGGCCGTATACCGAGCCGGAAGCGCGATACCTCATGGTGCAGATCTTGGCGGGGACGCAGAACCTGCATGCGAACAGCATTATCCATCGCGATCTCAAGCTGGGTAACATCTTCCTCGATGAGCATATGCATGTCAAGCTCGGGGATTTTGGTCTGGCTGCATTACTGAAGCATCCAGAAGAGAGGAAGAAGACCGTGTGCGGTACACCGAACTACATCGCACCCGAGATCCTGTACGATCAGGGACAGGGACACAGTTTCGAGGTGGACATTTGGTCGGTTGGAGTCATCCTGTATACGCTCCTGGTGGGGAAACCGCCATTCCAGACGCCCAAGGTGGACGAGATCTACGAACGAATTCGTCAAAACGCCTACGAGATCCCGGTCAACGCTGGACTCAGTGCGGAGGCGGTGGATCTCATCACACGAATCCTGACGCACAATCCGGCGCAACGACCGACGTTGGTACAGATCATGAACCATGCGTGGTTCTCTTCCGGTCCCATACCCGCGAGTATCCCCGAGACGGCGATCGAAACGACGCCCTTCCTGCCGCCCATCACGGCGCGCGAAAGCGCACGCAATCTCGAACTGCTCAAGCGTCAGGCGTGCTGGGACGACCGCGCGGACGATCTGTTGGAAGACTCGCCCGCCGCGGACTACGCCGATGCCCAACAGGAGCCGATCGAGGTGGTTGTCGATGCAAGAAGCGAGCTCGAACAGGCGGAACAGGCCGAGGAGCGAAGGGAGAAGATGGATCGCGAAGCGCAGCGTGCAATTTCGCCCGAATCGCCCATCTCTGCTCTGCTCAAGGCCGGAAGACAGCCACTGATCAAGGCACCTGCTGCACCGGCGCAGAGCTTTGCCAGGGGCGCGGCGAATAGCTTGGCCAAGCAGCTAAGCGGTCTTACCTTGAGGAGTGCAGGGGACAAGGAGAACGCGGCCCCCATGGCGGCGCCCGCTCCTGCGGCGAGAGCGGAGTTCGGTCGCGGTTACTCGAGGGGTGTCAATGCAGGTGGGACGCAAGACAAGCCGAGATTGGTCACTCCGTCGACGGGGGGTTTGACGAGACCCCTGTCGACGACGTCGCTCAACGACCAATACGCCTCGAGCTCGCGTGCGACGCTGGCCTCTATCGGCTCATCCACCGCCCTCGCCCCCGGTGTTCGAAAGACGAAAACCTCGATCGAGATCATCATCGCCCACCTCGAATCGGCTCTCGCTTGCGTCGACGCCAACACCCTTTACGCCGCTCCACCCAGCTCGTCGGCCGAATCGATCCGATTTGTCGAAAAGGCGTGCGAGCTGAACGGCACACGGGTGGTACCTGACAACCCGCGCGTCTTCCTCATCAGCTGGCTCGACCATTCCGAGCGCTACGGTCTGGGGTATGCCCTCAGCGACGGTAGTGTCGGCGTCTACTTCCGCGATTCCACCAGTATGGTTCTCTCGTCCGCCAAGAGCTGTGTTGACTACATCAGCACCATTCGCACCCCCAAATCTGCGGGCAAAACGGACCAGTTGAAGCGGGATAATTTCTCCCTCCCCACCCTCGACGCCCCTGGTTCGGTCCCCACGGAACTCACCTCGAGAGTCCGCGTGATGAAGTACTTCGAAAAGGAGATCATGGACCGTCTCTACGGCGCCGACTCCCCGCTCACTTGGCAAGACACCGACAGGACCACAGGCATGACCTTCGTCCACAAGTGGTACAAGACCAAGGACGCCATCGTCTTCCGCCTTTCCAACGGAACGGTCCAACTCAATTTTTACGATCACACCAAGCTGCTGCTGACCCAAGGGGCGCAGGTGGTGAGTGTGATCGAACCGCTGGATCGAACCGGCGGAGTGCCGAGGATGACCAGTTGGACGCTCGAGGAGTTTGTGTCCATCGCTTGCACCGATCGCTCCAAGAGAGAGGCGGAAGAGGACGAGAGGAGACGCTTCAACGTCGACAATGACGGCGAGAGGTGCTACAAGACCAGGCCGATGGAGAGACGCAAAGTCAGAGGACTGGTGGCCAAACTCAGGTACGCCATGGAGGTGCTCAGCACCACGGTGCAGCAGAAGAGCGTCGCCTCGAACGCTTAGACGAAGGAGGGTTTCGTAACGAACATTTCGGTTTCTATCACACATCTTTATACGTTTCAGCTACTTTTACACATCAGAGGTTCGCTATCATTGCTTCATCATGCTTCATGTTTTCCCGGATCATTCCACATTCCCGCATATGCTTCAGAAGTCTTGCTCATTCAGTTTCGTTTGATGTTTGATGCAGTGCTTGTGTCGCATCGTGTGAAGCCGGTTGTGCAAAGTCAAAGCTCAGGGAGAGCGTAGTGAGTTGTGGGTCGGAGCGATGAGCAGCGCAAGGGGTCATTGAACGACCCACACGATCTCGGACGGGCGCACGAAGAGCTCTACCGGACCTGGCCCCGGCTCCGCCTTCCCCTTTGCCTTCTCTTCTCCCGATCGTCGCTCGATTGGCGTCGGGAACGGCATGTTGGGCGATACACGCTCCCACACCTCCCTGCGCCTGTCCATCCTCTCTTGTGCCTCCACTGCCTCCCTTCCGGCTTGTTCATCGAGGCGGTAGTATTGCGTACCCTGAAAGCCACCATTGCGGAGCTTGAGCGGCGGCGGCGTGATCGCTGCGACGAGGTGAGGCGGCAGATGCAGCGTGACACCCACCCACACACCCGGATGACCAGCGACAAGGCCCAGATAGCGAACTTGAGCGCGGAACTTGCGCGTCGCCCCCGCTCCGCCGGTGGTGCTGCTCGCGCTGCGTGCGGCTGTTGCTGCACCCGCTTTGCGCTGTTGAGGCGCGGGGAGACTCTTCCTCCCCCCAACACCCGCGCCTGGCGCAGAAGGACTCTTGAAGTTGAGCGCGACGATGCACGGAATGCCCACGATGAGGCTGATCCCACCGTCCACTGTCACCGTCTCACGAGTGCGCGAGGGGACCAGATCTACCGTCTGCCGTGTAGGGGAATGAAGCACGATCGTTTTGACAGACTCACTCTTGCGCACACCGTGCGATGAAGATGCCTGTCGTGCCCTTTGGACGTTGGTGAGCGCATCGGCTGGCATGGCCTCGGCGACGCTCATCGTCTTGCTACTCTTCGGCGAAGAAGAGGTGGACGAGGTCCTGCGAGCGGTCGGCTTGGTTGGCGTGACTGACCGCGCTCGATCGCTATCCGATGCGGTGGTCGCAGCGGCGGTCTTCTTAGGGGCAGAAGCATTGCTGACGGTTCTAGGCCGCAGACCGTACCCCGAATCGGTGGTCGACAGGGAGAAGGTGCCACCGGGACCGGGTGTTGCGCGCAGGAAGGAAGATTTGTGGCCGAGCACAGGCGGTTTCGTTGGCTTGGTGTCAAGCGAGGATGCGGCGGGCTTGCTTGCGTTCGTGCTGGTGCGCGACGAGAGAGAGGCAGCGGAGCGGACGTTGCGGATCGTCTTGGTCGGTGTCTGGTCCGTCTCTGCAGAGGGCGTTCTGACTGTTGAGGATTTCGGCGTTGGCGATCTGTCTGCTTTGCTTGACGTGGTGGCCCTCGTGCTGACGCTGGCAGCTTTGACTCGTGGCGCAGCGACTTCGGCAGGCGCGGGTCTGACGGCCTTGCCATTTGCGAGGGTGGCTGTACTGGCACTGCTGGGCGTGCGAGCTCTTTGCTCCTTGCTCACAGCGACGGGTGAGGGACTATTGATCTTTACGCCTGTTCCGTTGATGCCCTCCGCGGTAGCTGCTGCATGCACGTTCGTCGCTTTCCCATTCTTGGAGGCAGGAGAGTGGCTTGTCTTGGCTCTCGTCGCCGGCGTCAGTGAAGCAGTAGCGACTGATCGTGAGCTCGGACGTGTAGCAGGCGACGTCGTCGAGGCAGTCGATGCTGTTGACAAAGATCTGTGTCCATTTGCTACCGACGTTCGAGCAGCATTGCGATTAAGCACAGCCGCTCGCATGTGTATCGGTCCGGCTTCTCGTTCGCCGTCGTCTCGCAACGAGTCTCTCGCCGGTGATGCGGTTCTCGTCAGGGAAGACGCTGTGGAAGCTGCAGATGCCGTCCGCATCCGACTCGCAGCTGCCGCCGCGCCACTGAGCGATGATCTTGCACCCATGCTGCTTCTTGCCGCGGCCAGGCTAGCACCAACCGCACCATTTGCTCCGATGCTGCCAGCAAGCGAGCTGGTCCGTCGTGTAGCCATCAGCCGGGAGGGCGGCAGTCCAAGCTTCGCAGGCGACGGTCCTTCTGTCAAGACCAGATCAGCTGTGGTGACGTCGAGCTCGTCGGCTAGCTCTTTGAGACACCACTTTTCGAGCTTGTTGAAGCCTGCGAGCGCGCGAACGTTGATCCAGCGTTTCTTGAGGTAGCGCAAGATGCTGGCGCGGGCCGTCTCGACTGCCTGTCGCGATTGACCCACCTCGAATCCCTGATCGCGCAGCAGAACCTGCCCGACGAGAAGTTGATAGATATCTGCAGCTCGAGCTTCTGTGAGCCCGTCGATTAGCATCACGAGGAACTTCTCGAGCACGTCTCCGAGTGAGCCAACACCATCCAGCAAGTCCGAAAAAGCCTGACTCTGCACGATCTTTTCGAGATCGCTGTGCAGGATGCGCATCAGTCGGCTCTCGACCGTCTCTGCCATCACGCGAAGCGACTCAACCCATCGGCTCGATCGTTCGGTGTCGATGCGCTGGCCGACGATCGAGAGCTGCCGCAAAACGGACACTACCAAAGTCGGCTCGTCTCGAAGGCAATCGGTGATGGAGTCGACGATACGGTCCTGAAGCACCGAGTCGAGGCTGCCGACCTCTTTGGCCCAGTACATGCCGAAGTGGACCCCAGAGACAGCAGCAATGGCCGGCTCCTGTAAGGATCGTTCACTGACGTCGGGGCTCGTGGCAAATGAAAGCGTACGAGGGACTCGCTTGGCACATTTGCGGCAGGGCGGCGAACAGTGGAAGCCGTGGCAGAATTCGCGGTCGATGAGGGCGACGACAAGCGCTTGTAGCGTTTCGATTTGCAGGTAGGCACCAGCGCGCCACAGCGAGAAGGCGGTCGAAAGGTCGAAGGTGCGATTCGAGAAGAAGAGCGTGCCGGTGTAGAGGAAGCCAAGCGTAAAGTGAAGCGAGGCTGGCGTAAATGGTGGGGATGGTAGGTGCAATACTGGCGCCCGCGAGTCTGCGTATGGCGAAAGCAGCATCGAGGCGAAGTACTGCGACCGAGATGCGAGGATCATGCGATGCGTCGAGAAGGAAGTTAGGTCGTCGTCTTCGTTGTCTGAATTGTCGCATCTTTCGGTATCAAGCGTTGGAGCCAGTGATAAGACGGACATGTTGGCATCGGGAATGTCCATCATCTTGTTCAACGTATCACGGCCCTTTCTGCCATTGCCGAGCCCTGCTTTGACCAAGTCATCGCTGTCGTCATCATCGTCGTCTTCGGCAAGCACGATCTTGACGTCCGAGTAGAGTTTGCTGCGCCACATGAAGGTGAGGTCTGTCCGAAGCTTATCCAGCTTCTGCTCGGCAGTGACCTCTGAGTCAGAGGCGAGGCGATTCTCAAAGAGGAACTCGAATGCATCGACCATCGCCTCTTCGCCAGTGTACAGGTACTGAAGCGTCGCCTCGAAGAAGGCTTGGCTGACATCTCCGAGACTGATCGGAGCACGCAAGGTGCTGGCGTCGCTGACGACTGTGGGTGCGTCCGTGAACTGTGAATCGGCTGCCGAGGTGACCGAGGCGAACGACGGTTTGCGAGTCGGGTGATTTGAAGACAATGCGGACGAAGACTCCTGAGGTATTTTCGAAGACGATGTCAACGAAGCTGCGTGGGGTTTCGGATCATTCGAACGAGTGTTGATCAAGCGAGAGGCGCGCAGACTATATGTTGGATCGCCTTCGCCCTCACTGTCGCTGGTGGCAAAGCCGGAGGCGATGGAGTTAGCTTCGTCAATCGAACCCTTTCGCAGAGGCCTGGAGATGCTGGAACGGGAGATCGGCTTGCGCAAAGAGGGCTTCTTCATGGAAAAGCTGCTGGGCGGTGCGGTGCCCCTAATCGACTGGCGCGCTTTGGCTACTATCCCCCCACGTGTTGTCAACGTATTCGCATTCGAAGCCGAAGGGTCCGTGTTGTTGGAGCGGGAAAGATCGGAAGCCAGTGATAGCTGCGATCCGCTCCGATGCAACGGCAGAGAAGCAAGGCTTGCAGTCGAGCCAATATGCTGAAGCTGATGGGCAGGTGAGCGCATCTTCAAGAAGCGAGCGTGGAAAGTGTTGGGAGCGCGTGCGTATAGAATAGCCTTGTGAGCCCATATGAGGGTATCTTGACTCGTGGAAGTGGTGGGTATCGATGCGGTTTGTGTTGGTCGTAACGTGGGTATCAATGCATGCTGTGCTGTTTGCAAGCTGGTCCGGTCTTCGTCCCCCGGCTTGGGAGACCACTCGTCGCGATGGTCTTGCGTGTTTGTGGTTGCGGTCGTCCAGCAGACATCCGCGAAGCGCTCCTCGGCGCGATCGAGAAGTCTGCGCATATCCGCCTTCCAGACTTTCGTTGCCTCTTCCTGAGCAGCGCGGACTGGGTCATTGTGTTTGGTCCCGTTTGAGTTGAGAGTCAGAAGGCCTTTCGAAGGTCCTGCTTGCGCGTGTGCCGTGACATCGGAGCCGTGGGCACGAACTGAAGCGCCTCTTGAGGGGACAGGACGCATAGGAGCAGCTGCTCCAGATTGGGGAGTCCTTGATGCTACACTAGCAGACATGGTGGCGGGATAGGAATCGACTTAGTGAGACGTGATGACGGTCGGCTCGACTTGCTCGTCAGTCTCGCTGCTTTCTGCATCGACTGGCGAGACATGAGGCATCACCTGAGCATTGCCAAGATCGTGTAGGGATAGAGTGAGCTTCGCTCGCAGCTACTGGCGTAATAGTCTGCACTGTTGGGCGAGGCTGAGCCGTGCTGGCACCAGATGTGCTGGATTAGCTGAGTGACATTCAAAGCTGATTCGTTAGCTGTGCTTGGTCAGCACTTTGTCCTTTGTCGGGACGCTGCCGCGAGAAGGGACGGAGTCAGGACGCGCACCAGGCCAGGTGGTTGTGATCGACCGGATCAGCTTTGAGTGTGACGAAGGTGATGAAGCTAGAGGATGTAGGTGTTGGTGTCTCAAAAGCAAGCGTCACGCACCTGCAAGTGCCGAGACAGGGTCCAAGCAGCGCCGCCCAAAAGTGTTGGTCTCGACAAATTCCGCGTCAGCGCAAAACGCATGCGCAGGTTCACAGAGCGACTGACTTCCTATGCCATCACATCAAGCTCGATGATGCCGAGCAGCCGACAAGGTAGGCTGGCTCAGTGCCGGACGCAAGAGGTACAGACAGGTTCGTTGATGCTATGGAATCTGATGAATGTCCATCCGAGAGAGTTGCACAGCAAAGAGCAGCTACAAAGGAGGGACGTTCCGGGCGTTCTCCTTGCCGAGTCCGGCGTGACCACCATCTTGTCCGGCCCTCTATGACGACACTGCAAGACGCTTCTTCCTCAGCTCCACCAGCGCGCTCCTACCGACAACAATGGTGAAAAGACCCGCGCCCAACAGCAGTGGCAGCATCTGAAAGAGCGTCAATCCGATCCAGTACCTTACAGCCAGACCCTCCAGACCCGCCAGCGCAGCGAACAGCACCAGCGCTTTCGACGATGGCGACTGGATGTCGGGCTTGACGATGCCCAGTGCGCCCACCAGGAACACCCACGGCACGACTGCAGTGACGAGCGAGGCGAGGCCGCTGACCTTGGTGCTCGGCATTGTCTCGGTAGGTGGAATGCCGAACGTGTGCCTGTGCTCGGGCAGACCGTGGAAGCCTTGTTCGATCTCCGCCTTCTCTCGAGCCGACAACGAGGAAGAAGTCGATGCGAGAGCGGCATCGACCAGACTAGATGGTGGACTGAGCGAGACAAGAGGCAGCGAGAGCGGCGCGTAGGCGCCTTCAGAAGCCGAGTTCGAGGGGAAGTTGGCGATGAGCAGCGAGAGCGTCAATGGCGATTGTGCTCGAAGGAGCGTCGCTGGAATTCTGTCCATCCTCTGTGTCAAGCAAAGTAAGATGAAGTAGCAATCGTCAGTATGCGAGTTCCGAGTCAAAGAGCGCCTCAAAGTGCCTTAGACTTACCAAGTTCCACGAGACCTTGCCAGTGCTGGGCTTGACGACGACGGGCCAAGCATGTGAAGCCTCCTCACCATTGTTCAAAGCGAGTACGATGAAAGATTGATGAGGCACGTGCTCCTTGCCAAGCGCAGGTCCATCCTGACTGCCGACCTTCTTTCCATTCGCGTCTTCCACCCCGAGGCTGAAGGTGAACCTGATCACATCATCGTTCTCCAGCTGCGTTGGGTTGGCGGTGTCAAAGGGCGCCGTGTTCTTCGAGTAGTCAGGATGTGTCGAGAACTCCTTTGAGAGACGAGACGACCCGTCAACCGTCGAGAGGGCGAGCTTGGCCGACTTGAGCACGTAGCTCAGCTTGGGTTGCGAAAGTGCTGCGTTCGCCTGGATGACGAGCAGCAGTGCCAGCAGCAAGGAGGACGCGAGGAACAGTATCGATCGCATCTTGTGATGTCTCCGTAGCGGTAGAATCCCGAGATGAGAGAAGTGTGTGTTGATGGAAGACCGTGAGAAGAATTGTCGTGGTTGAGTCTGGCGATGGCGCGTGCACGGAAGCGGCGGCAGCAAGCCAGGTGGAAGCAACCAAGGCCAGCTGCCGTCTTCTAAAACGGGCGTGCTTAGTCGCGCCGTTGAATATTGGGCGAGATGTTACGCCATCCTTTATGCCTCGCCTCAGGGTCCCGATATCAAAACCCGATTGGGCTATGTTGCTGCGGCAAGTTCGCATTCTGATTGGCTGCTGAACGCGTCTGCTCTTCGGCACCGACAAAATTTCAGGTTTTGTTCTTGCGCTGCTGCTCGCTTCCACCTTTCTTCTTCTCCTCATACTACTCTTTTCTAGTATACCTTGGTCACCGCTGGTATCATCTTTTCCCACAACTCTCAACCCTTTCAACACTATTCCAAGATGAGCTACGTCGCCAAGGACAAGGATGTGGATGCTTCGGCCCCTGCTGCCAAGATCCACAAGATCCGCATCACCCTCACTTCGCGCAATGTCAAGAACCTCGAGAAGGTCTGCTCCGACCTGGTGAACCGATCCAAGGACAAGCAGCTCCGTGTCAAGGGCCCCGTCCGTCTGCCCACCAAGGTGCTCACCCACACCACCCGCAAGTCCCCCTGCGGTGAGGGCTCCAAGACCTGGGACCACTTCGAGATGCGCATCCACAAGCGCCTCATCGACCTCCACTCGCCCTCCGAGATCGTCAAGCAGATCACCTCGATCTCGCTTGAGCCCGGTGTGGAGGTCGAGGTCACCATCCTCTCCTCCAACTAAACGTGCATCCTTTGCCGCTCCTCCAGCTGCAACATGCGCGCCGAGGAAGGTTTTCGTGTCGTTCGTTGACTACAAAAGGATGCGATCAGGTGACGGAGGAAAGGGCACGTCTTCATTGTGCGCCGTCCGCTCCTCTGTCATTGTTCAAAGTTCGTATTCACCATCTTTGCCTCCCAAAAGGGGCTTCTTTGCAATACCACGACACTCTTTTCTTTCTTCCTCAAATCTCCTCAGTCCGAGCTGCGTGTGCTTTGTGTATGAGAACGCCGTATCAGTGTTGCGCTGAACGAGTATCGACAGCCTACAACGAGCCTGAACAGGCCGCTACTTCTTCTTCTTCTTGTTTTTCTTCTTCTTCTTGCTGCTGCCGCCACCGTTGCCGTCTGCCGGGTTCGGTGTTGTTGGCGTAGCAGGGGTGTTTCCTCCGCTCTCCTCCCCATCGGCTGCCTTATCGTCTTCTTCGTCCGCTTCGCCTTCGTCGGCTGCCTCTTCCCCGACAGCCTCCGCCTTGACAGTCTCGACGGCGTCAGGTTGCGAGACAGAAGGCTCTTCCACCCCCTCCTTGGACGACTCAGCCTTTGTGCCCTCAGAAAGTGAAGCCGACGCCTCCTTCTGCACTCCCTGCTTTGATGCCTCTGCTTCAGCACCCGTCTTGCTGTCAGACTGTGCTTGCTTCGGCTCGACTGCTGGATCAGCTGCACTTGCGGTATCCTCCGGCTCGGCCGCCTTGGCTGCTGCCGCCGCAGCTCGATCTCGCTCCTCTTTGCGCTGCCGAAGCTTGTCGGCGAGGCTGAACTTCTTGGGTGCTGGAGACGAGCTGCGTTGCTCAGGAGCGCTAGCTGGTATCTGCATTGAGGGTGCCCCTTGTGGCTCGGCCGCAACCTGAGTTTCGGCTTGGGTCTGGGCAACAGCTTGAGGCGCAGCTGCTTCAGAGGGCACGGCGCCTGGCTCTTGTTCTGTGTGCTTGGAGGCGTCGGCTGCGGCTGGTTGATCTGCGACGGTTTTCGCAGCCTCCTGGGCCTGCTTCCCGGCTGCTTCGGATCGCGCGAGCTCGTCTGCCTTCGTTTTGGCCGCTTTGGCCGCCGCTGCCTCCTCGGCCTGCTTCTTCGACGCTGCTTCCTGGTCATCGTTCTCGGCTTTGGCCCTGGCAGCTTCCTCCTCGGCTTGTTTCCTAGCAGCCTGCTGAGCTTCGGCCTCAGCCTTGGCTGCTGCAGCTTCCTCCTTGGCCTTCTTCTTCGATGCAGCTTCGCGAGCTTCTTGTTCGGCTTTGGCTTCGGCAGCGTTCTCCTCGGTTTTCTTCCTTGCAAGTGCCTCCTGAGCCTCGGCTTCGGCCTTGAGTCGCTCCTCTTCTTCGGCCTTGAGGCGGGCAGCTTCAGCTTCGTCCTTCTTCTTCTTCTCTTCTTCGGCCTTAAGCCTTGCCTGCTCCTCCTCCTCCTCGGCCTTTCTCTTTGCCTCGGCATCGGCCTCCTTCCTCGCCTCTTCTTCCGCTTTCCTCTTGGCCTCTTGCTCGGCCTTCTTGTTGGCCTGTTCTTCGGCTTTCCTCTTAGCCTCGTCCGCAGCCTTCTTCTTTGCTTCATCCTCGGCCTTCTTCTTGCGCTCTGCCTCTTCTTCAGCCTTGCGCTTTGCCTCCTCTTCTGCCTTGCGCTTTGATTCCGCTTCAGCCTGCTGCCTTGCTTCTTCTTCTGCCTTCTTCCTGGCCGCCTCTTCGGCTTCACGACGGACCTGCTCCTCTGCCTCGACGCGTGCCGCCTCCACTGCATCATCATGAGCTTTCTGCCTTCGGGTGGCATCGAGCCGCCTCTGCTTGCTGGATTGCAGAATGTTTGATCGCGTCGAGCTGATCCACTCCTGAGCCTGATTCCAGGCTGAGTCGGCTTCTCGAGCGCCTGTTCCGTCCGAAAGATCGAAAACCTGCGATTGGACGACCTGCAAGGTCCACGAGACGACGGAGGAATGCCACATGCCAAGCACTTTGCCCAGGATGGCACTCTCTCGGTCTTGGATGAGCTGTTTTTGGAGCCCTTGTCTCACGACGGGTTCGTCGTCGAGGTGCAGCAGGAGAGACTGAGCATCTTGGTCCGCCAGCAGCAGATCGGCGTAAGGCACGTTCCTGTCGAGCTTGGCGATGGATTTGGGTGTTTGCGTGAGCAAGCGCTGAGTGATGCTTGCCAGATGGCGATCCAATGTCTGCGAAAGAATCGAGGCAAGAGAGACAGGTGCAAAGACTTGCAGCGCGTTGATCCAGTCCATGAGCTGGTTCAGCAACTTGGCGAATAGCGGATAGTCGACCAGCTCGATGTTGGGTCGCGAGAAGTCGTCGTAGGCTGACATTTCCGCATTGTCCGCAGAGACGCTGTAGAGGTCTTCCAGCGCGGACCGCGGAAGCTTTGAGGAGGTGAACCACCGGGAGGGAAGCGAAGTCTCGTTGGACTGCATGTGTTGGTCGAGCTGGCCATGCAGACTCGCGAAAGTCTGATCCAGCGAACGAGACAGAACATCAAGCCAGATAGCCTCTATCGAGCTGAGGGCGGTCGTAGTCTCCTCAGCACCAGCAGAGAGGGCGGGAGCGAAGAGGAGCTTGCCAAAGTCGAAGCCGAATCGCGTCAAAGAGACCGATGCGTAGCTGAGCTGGGTATGGATGTTGGCCAATGTTTCGGCGAGCGTCTCTAGGCTACTCGAAGCAGATGAAGACGGATCAGTCTTACGAGCGGCTACTTGAAGCTGCACCGAAACAGTGTCGCGCAGACGCACGAGACCTGATGTTGCGAACGACGAGAGCAGATGAGCAGGAGTGACCATGTCAGGCTGCGACGTATCACTGCTCCGCGCTTGCGAAGAGGAGGAAGACTCGTCGATGAACAGAGGGAAGGCCATACCGAGAGTGTCGGCCATCTCTTCGCGCCAGAGGTCGATGTACCTGCGGAGATAGGCCTCGCTAGAGAAGGAGGAGGGAGAGCCCATGGCGTCGAGAGCAGAGTAAAAGGATCGGATCCTTGCTTTGAGGAACGCGAGGCAGAGCTGATTTTCGCTCATGCCAAGTGAGACTGCGAGTAGATTGGACTGAGCTGAAGCCAGTACCACATGCCGATCTGCAATTTGGGAGAGCTGAGACTCGAAGGTGTTGAGCTTGCGAAGGATAGAGACGGATCTACGTGCTGCGGGCAGCTTGAGGCCGGGACTGGAGAAGCTCGATACAAGGTCGTTCTTCATGGTCGACAGGTGCGAAAGTGCTTCGATGAGAAGCGAGAAATAGGTGCTGCGTTGGCCATGGTTGAGGCCCGAAGTGTGAACGGAAGCTCCTAGGTCATCGTGTGCGACATGAGCGTCACCTAATGAGTTGAGAAGGCCGACGAGATGCTCTGCTAGCTGAATCGCATCGGAGTGCTGACCAGCCTTGACGCAGGTGTGAATGAGCGTGGGAATTTCGAGCAGGTCAGAGAGATGGCCACGCTCGTATTGGTCGGTGACGTTTTGCAGACGTTCGCGTTCGGCCAGCACGGGTTTGCTGGCAGCCTCAAAGACGTCAGCGGCCTTTTGCAGATCCGGCAAAGTCTGAGTGATAAGATCATCGAGATGAGTGGAGAGCGAGTCGAGGAAGGGGCTGAATTCTTGTTCTGCTTGCTGAATATGGATGAAAGCGTCGGTTTGGGAGATGCAGAGCTCCGAAAGTTGCTGGTGAAGCGCTTCCGATTTGGACTGGAGCTGCTGCGGCTGGGCTCGTAAGTCAGAAAGGCTGAAGTTGGAGAGCGATCGAATGTAGGAAGCCGACTCCTTGGTCGAGAGCGCATCGGCCGAAATGGGTGAATCAGCCGACTGAGCCGCATTGTGGATGAGCGAGGCAAGCGAGCCGTGTGCCATCGCATCCGATGCAGCTGACGGTGCTGCTATCGACGTCGGCATGGTTGCGATGCTCTGTCGGTGTCTCCGGACAGTGTGATGGCCCGAAAGGACAGTCGCGATGGCCAAGCGTGACGTTCAGCGAGGTTGCGAAAGCTCTCTCAGCTGTCAAAAGTGTTGGTCCGGGTTCCGAGCTTGAGTCGAGACCCTGGCGAAAATGCACGGGCTCTGTCGAGGGCGGGTAAGCTAAGAGCCGGCCGGTATGCTGCTTTGCCTTGACACTTTGTTTCTCTCTTCGACAAGTCAAGCTCGCCGGCAAACAACACAAGGGCGTCCAATCAGATACAGCGTCTGCGGATCCAAAGCCTGCACACGATTATCATGCATGGCCAGCAATCTCGCGCACAAGACGGAACAACCAATCGCACCTCACCCAAACCCACGACGGCTCCTTTACCTCTCTCTTTCATCGGGGAGCAGGATGGGGATTTAGATTGGGTACTAAAGACCGGTACCAGTGATGAGCCCTTGCTCTGTCCAAGAGTGACCTCAAGTGCCTCTTGAAGGCGGCGACAAGAGGGCTGGCTCGCTTGAGTCTGAGTCTGAGCATCCGATTCTTCCAAGCGCGGGGTAAAAATGCACGGGATCTGTGCCTTGCAAACAGCGAGCCTTTCGAGTCATCCGCCTCTCTGTCTGCGGCTGCAAGGGTGCTTTCTCGGATCAAAGCATTGAGTCTAAGGGGACCATTTGAATAAGGCCAATTTTGTAATGTGGACCGTAATTCCGACCTTTCACGAAAGTGAAGCGAATACAAAATTTGGCAGGCGAGAATAGGTGGCAAAATGAGAAGAAAGACGGCGCTGCGGGTCTAGAAACAAAGCCTTTTTGGCACACCCGGCTTGTGACCAGCGAATAAGCGGGCTGCTCTGCTCTGGCTTGTCACGCCTCAAAGCCTTTTGCTCTTTTGGCCGAGTCACCGTTGGCTGCGACCCTGTCAAACTCATTTCCTGCACGTCCGGTTCAGACCTTCTCGCCTCTTCATCTCCAGTCCCGCCAGCCTCCTATCTTGTCTTCTCTCCACAACATCGCACAAGCATCTTCCTGGATCTCCTCCTCAAGATCTTCATTCATCCCTTATCATTGGACTGCGCGACCTCTCCTCAAAAGGCTAGGATTCATTCACTTCTCCTTCGCCACCACCTCCGAGCATCAGGGACAAACAGCTCACACGCCCCCTCCAAAAAAGTTGTTGCTTTGAGCACGCGCACCTTCGCATACTAGCTCCATCATGACAAGCTTCGCCGTGCAGTTCGCACGCCAACAGAGGCACGCCTTCCAGGCGGCTTCCAAACTCTCCTCGGCCTCGACTTCCAACATTGTCGCCGCCGCCGCTTCCACATCCTACGCTTCCACTCCCAGCGCCGCGAGAGCCTTCTCCACCGCCAGGAACAATCTCCCTCGCTCGGCGCAGATCGCAAGGTCGCAGCGCTCCCAACTTGCCCTCACAAGACACATTTCCACAAATCAGCCCAAGGAGCAGGCTGCCGCTGCTGCTCAGACCAGCGTGCGCCCCGAACCATCGCCTGCCTTCCAGCAGTCGCCTCAGAACATCGCTCCTCTCTCCTCCAGATATGACGCAAATGCGCTCGACGAGTCGTTTGTGGGCATGTCTGGTGGTGCCATCTTCCACGAGATGATGCTCAGACACGACGTCAAGCATGTCTTTGGCTACCCTGGTGGCGCTATCCTCCCCGTCTTTGACGCCATCTACAACTCGAAGCACTTCGACTTCGTTCTCCCACGAAGAGAGGACGGTGCCGGCCACATGGCTGAGGGCTACGCCCGTGTCACTGGCAAGCCCGGTGTCATCCTCGTCACCTCGGGACCTGGTGCCACCAACGTCATCACCCCCATGCAGGATGCCATGAGCGACGGTACGCCTCTCGTGGTCTTCTGTGGTCAGGTGGCCACCTCTGCCATCGGCTCGGATGCCTTCCAGGAGGCTGATGTTGTTGGCATCTCGCGATCGTGCACCAAGTGGAACGTCATGGTCAAGGACATTGCCGAACTCCCTCGTCGCATCAACGAGGCTTTCAAGATTGCCACGTCGGGTCGTCCCGGTCCCGTTCTCGTCGACCTGCCCAAGGATGTCACTGCCGGCATCCTCCGTCAGGCTATCCCCTACAGCCAGACGCAGCCCAACATGATCACCAACCTGCCCAGCCGACAGGTTGCACGCAACCGTCGTGGCGCCACCTTCCAGCAGAGCACCAATCTTCGCTCCTCTGAGCAGGACATCCTCACCTCGGAGCTGCGCGAGGCCGCTCGTCTCATCGGCATCGCCAAGCGACCCATCATCTACGCCGGCCAGGGTATCCTCTCTTCCCCCGATGGACCCAAGCTGCTTGCCAAGCTGGCCAAGGAGCACAACATCCCCGTCACCACCACCCTCCAGGGTCTCGGTGCTTTCGACGAGCTTGACCCTCTCAGTCTGCACATGCTCGGCATGCACGGTTCCGCCTACGCCAACCTGGCCATGCAGGATGCCGACCTGATCATCGCCCTCGGTGCCAGGTTCGACGACCGTGTCACTGGTCGCATCGACAAGTTTGCGCCGCACGCCCGCGCTGCTGCGCTCCAGAAGCGCGGTGGCATCATTCACTTCGAGGTTATGCCCAAGAACATCAACAAGGTGGTTCAGGCAACATGCGCCATCGAGGGTGATGTGGTGACCAACCTGGGCAAGCTCATGCCCTACCTCGAGAGCAACGGGCCGGACAGGAGCGAGTGGCACGAGCTCATCAAGTCGTGGAAGGACTCCTACCCGTTCACATACGAGCCTTCGAAGGAGGGCGAGCTGATGAAGCCGCAGGAGGTGATCGAGGCGCTCGACTCGGCTGTGGCGGATCAGAAGGACAATGTCATCATCTCGACCGGTGTGGGGCAGCATCAGATGTGGGCTGCGCAGCACTACCGCTGGCGTCACCCTCGCACCTGGGTTTCCTCGGGTGGTCTCGGAACTATGGGTTTCGGTCTTCCCTCGTGCATTGGCGCCAAGGTTGCTGCTCCCGAAAAGATCGTTGTTGACATCGACGGTGATGCTTCGTTCAGCATGACCGCGATGGAGCTCGCCACCGCCGCACAGTACGACATTGGTGTCAAAGTGCTTGTCCTCAACAACGAGTTCCAGGGCATGGTCGTTCAATGGCAAGACCTCTTCTACGAGAAGCGATACTCGCACACCGAGATGCACAACCCAGACTTCTGCAAGCTCGCCGAGTCCATGAACGTCAAGGCCATCCGCTGCGACAACATCAAGGACCTCCCCGCCAAGATGAAGGAGTTCATCGAGTACGACAACAACAAACCCATCCTGTTCGAGGCGAGGATCACCAAGAATGAGCACGTCTACCCCTTCTGCCCTGCTAGTGCGGGCCTGCACGAGTTGATTGTGCACCCCAGCCTCAAGCCTATCCCCAAGAAGGCGTGATTTTCTGTTACTAGTACGAGGGTTTCCTTTGCAATGTTTTGTGTTCTTTCCGTCTCTTTTCGCCTCTGTGTGTGAATGTTTGAGAAGGGTGAGAGTGATAAGCAGCGAAGGTGTCGGGAAGTGAGAAGGGACGTGGATGAGGTTGATGCCGAGAATGGGGGAATCGTGGTGAGGTGGCAGGTAGAATCGGTGATTTCGCAAAACTCACACACACGCGAGGTCGGGGCCGTGCTCTCACTCATTCCGTCTTCCTACCCCACAGCCGCCGTGCTTTCACACCACATCCACCAGACACGACACCAGGCGCAACAGGTGCTTGAGCTTCTCATCGCGCGGGCGGTACAGACTGAAGGGCTCATCCAACGCGACCTTTGACCCGGCGAACAAGCAGAAAGGAGAAGTGGAAGCGGAGCTCCAAGGGCGAGGATGTCGATCTAGAACACGCAACACACTTTCCCGACATTCCTTGATCAGCATCGCCATCAGACGTACCTCTTAGCGGATCGGCATTCCAATCAGGTCTCAATCGTATCATCGCTCGGCTACATACGCAAGATGTCGGCACCCGAAGCATCGTCCTCGTCAACAGGTCGTCCATCTCTGGACGCCTCCTCGGCAGCACCCGCCTCGACCAATGGCACCACCACCAGCACGCTCGAATCTGGCACTGAAGAATCCTGGGCGCCCATCTCCTCCATGTCCGACTCCGCCATCCGCACCGAACTGCTTCGCGTCCGCGAGGAACGCGACACATTCGAATCACAATACCGCTCTCTCCTGTCCAAACTCACCACCATGCGGGCCACCCTCGGCGATCGCCTTCGGCAAGACGCAGAAGAACTCGATCGACGCGAAACCCAAATCGACACTCTCACATCTACCATTTCCAACCTCGAATCTTCGCTTTCGACGCTACGGGCCGAACTCGTCTCTTCGCACGGTGAAACGGATCGACTGGCGAACGAGGTGGATGCGTTGCGGAAGAGTTTGGTGGCGAAAGAGGAGATGAGCGGGGGAGGGCGGGAGTTGCAGGAGCAACTGGAGAGGGTGAAGGTGGATGCGCACGGGTGGCAGACCAGGTGTTTGGAAGAACGGGCGGTCAAGGAGGAGTTGGAATCGCGGCTTGCTGAGGCGCGAGACGAAGTGGTGCGAGCCCAGGCGGCCGAGGTGCACTATCGTGGGGTGGCGGAACGCGAGTCTGCCAGTGCAGCGAACCTCTCTTCGGTGCTCAGCGAGTTTCAATCCTCGCAAGAGTCCGAGCTGCAGCGTGCCCTGGGCGATCATCGCGACCAACTCGATCGCCTCACCACCGCGAATCAAGAATGGAGAAGCAGGGCAGAAGAAGCGGAATCCCAACTGCACCAGAACGCAAACCTCACCTCGCAAGCAGAAACCCTCGCCGCTTCGGTGAAAGAGAAGAATTTGCTCATCGGCAAACTTCGCCACGAAGCGGTGATCCTCAACGAGCACCTCACGGAAGCCCTGCGTCGACTGCGGAATCATCAGATGGAGGGTTCGGTGGATAAGCGACTGGTGACCAATCTGCTGTTGCAGTTCATCAGCACGCCGAGGGCCGATGGGAAGAGGTACGAGATGCTGAGTTTGATTGCGGGGGTGCTGGAGTGGGGTGCGGAGGAGAGGGAGGCTGCGGGGTTGCAAAAGGGAGGGGGGACGCAACGGCCAGGGATGGGCGCGAGGGGGACGTCCAGTGGGAGGAGAGTGAGTGGAGGTGCAGTGGCAGGGAACGGCGTAGGTGGCGACGAAAGCTTTTCCAACCTCTTTGTGGAGTTTCTGCTGAGCGAGGCGGAGAGAGGGAAGGAAGGGAAGAAGGAGGGTGAAGAGGCGTTGACGAGCCCGACATCGCCAGGGTTGCCCAAAAGGTTGTTCTCGCCCACGGGGGAGAGAATGGAGCCTCTGTCGCCGAGCAAAAGTGACGCGGGAGGTAGGGGCGAGGTGTCAGCAGCGACAAGTACGAATGGCGAGGAGGCACCGAATAGCAAATCCGCCGGAGGAGGCGGGTTCGGGTCTTACTTCGGTCTTTCAAGAGCCAGCAAGAAGTGAATTGCACTCGTTCGCACCACGCAATCATACACTGTCACAACATCGCACACATGAAGGCTGTCTGAGAATGCAAAGTATGGTATTGAAAGGCCTGCGACAAACGATTCTACTTGACCTTCTTGCTCTTCTTCTCGCCACTCTCGTCGTTGCGCTTTCGCTTCTCTTTCTTGCCCGCGTCGCCCTCGACCGGCGCGATGAAAGCTTTCTGCCTCTCGGCTTCCCTCGTCTCGCGATGTTCCGCTTGCTTCTGCAGCTTCTTCGCCTCTTCCGCCTGCTTCTTCTGTCGCGGCTTGAGGAAGTACTCTCCGCTCTCGAGCTGGAGGTCGATCTTGCTGGGTTGCTGGGGTGGAGGGAAGGGCGTGTAGGTCTTGGGCTTGATCTTCTGCTTGGGCTTCTTCTCCTCTCCTTCCTCTGTGGTGGTGGGTTTCGACTTCTTCTGGTTCTGCTTTCTGAATTTGGGCAGGAAGCGTTCCCAATTCTCCTCGGCCAATTTGGGATCTTTGGCCAGCTCGCGCTTGATCATGAGCTCCTTGATGTGGTAGATCGGATGTACGTTTTTGAGACAGTCGATGACGATGCGTCGCACCTCTTTGAGATTTTTGAACTGACCCATTGCGCTGACTGTGTTTCCTTGCACTAGCACATAGCACCCCGTCAACAGCTCGATCGCTTTCAACGTGCTCCCGTTGGGACCGATGATTCGTTGTCTTCGCTTGACGAATCGCTCCTTGTTGCGCAACAGGTTGCCGATCTTGATCACATCGCACTCCACGCCGTCCTCCAAAATTTTGACCGCTTGCGGGAATGGTACGCTGCGGGAGAGCAGACGGATCATATCGCGCGCCTTGAGGATCACGTATGGGTCGTAGGTCTTACGCGTCGTCTTGACCGTCATACTGCCCTCGACGAGATCGAGTGTGCACGCAATACCGTGCTTATCGAGCGCGGATGTGACATGTCCCCAGACTTCTTTGAGATAGCGTTCGCGGTACTTGGGAAAGAGGGTTGCGAAGGAGGACTCTTCCAGGAAGGGACCTTTGATCTCGTCGGCGGTGAATTTGGGGACGGACCAGTGGTCGATGGTCTCGTCGTCCCACGGCTTGTCTTTGCGGTGCTTTTTGTTCTTGGATACCTCGACGGGTGGCGGGGAGGAGGTCGTTGCGTCGGCCATGATGTGTGTCTCTGCGGGATGGTGGGGATGGGATGACGGTCGAGTTGATGGTGGAGAAGCAAGGCAAGCTAGGGTCCAAAAGCAGGCAACGCCCCTGGGAAAAATTCTAGAAACAGCTCAGCTTCAGAGGCTGGCCGAAATTTTCATCGCCGATACCAACCTCGCAGCTCGAATCGGCCGATACGCCGGGAGTCGGTCCCATGCATGGACCCTCTGCTCGAGAACAACACTTCTTCCTCAACCTCTCTCACCACATCATACATCTAGTCAAGCTGGAGTCTGTTTCCAGATACGACGATCTCAACATGTCGACAACACCCTCGCCGTCCAAACGGCCGCGCATACCCACCTCATCGGCCGCAGCCTCGGCCACCGGCTCGCCCTTCACTGTTCCTCCTCGAGGCCCCAAGTCCGTCGGCCCCACTGGCGCGTCCGCTCTCTCCAATGGCGCCATGGTCGGCCTCGGCATGAGCCCCGCGGACACCTTCTCCCCCGCTCCAGGCACTGTCGACACATACGGCATGTCAGGCTTCACGCCCTACTCCACCACCTCGCCCGCCTACGCTGCGGGTGGACCGGCCGGCTCCGCCGCATCACCCCTAAGCACTGCACTCGCACACGGCAGTCGCATTCTATCCAGCATCCAGCCCGCTACACCCTTCTATGCTGCTGGCGGACCAACACCCCTGCTACCCGGAAGCAGGTTTACACCGAACCTCGCACAGCAGGGACAAGCGAGACAGCAACCATCCACCCCACAACAGGGCTCACCAGAACATCTCAGGCTGGCACTGCAACATCTGCAAACGACGCTGCTGGCGAGATTGGAGAGCGAGACCGAGGCGTTCTTCGATGCGGCGGATTCGGCGGCGGCGGTAGGGGCGGATGCGAGGGTCGTTGCAGGGAAAGCGAAGGCGGCGACGGGGGCGATGGAGGATGTGCTGGTGTTTTTGGAGAAGAATGGGTTGGCGAGTTTGCCGCTCCTGCCATTGCCAGACGGTGCTGGTGAGGAGGGTGGAGGTGCGACGGAGGCGACAGCGACGACAGAGGGTGCGTCAATAGCGCAGCCAGACGCTGCATCGGCTACTGCGGCGACCACAACGGTCACCAAAGAGGGCCAGACAGATCCGACTTCGATAGCGACAACATCGACAGCGTCCGCAGATGCAGCGGCGCAAGGTGCAGGAGATGCAGCTTCGGATCTGACCTCGCAGATCGAGGCCTTGCAGCAACAGGCGAGAGAGCTGTTCGATCGACGCCAGAGGTTGAAGGAGTCGGCGTCGATGGTAGGCGGCATTCTCGACTCATAGACCTCCCTCATCACACCATCATTCATCGTCACACAGAAGAAATGCCTGCAATGGGTCACCCGATTCGAAAAGAAGCTACAAATACAAAAGTGTGCCCACTACGCATACTGCTCGAGATCAAGCGTGAGACTGCTACTCGAGTTGACGTCCTGATCGCGGTAGATGCCGACGAGGCTCTGGCTCCTCTCGTACAGCGACGCCTTGAGCGAGATGACGATGAACTGGAACTGATCGCTCGCGTGGTCGCGGATGTAGTTGCTCACCTTGGCGACGTTCTGCGAGTCGAGCGCTGCGTCGACTTCGTCCAGCACGAAGAAGGGCGCTGGTTGGAAGCTGTGGATCGCAAACAGCAGGGCGAGGGCTGCCATGGTCTTTTCTCCGCCAGAGAGCGCGGTGATGTCGCGGAAGCGCTTCATGGGCGGGACGACCGAGTAGGTGATACCGCCCAGGTAGGGCTCCTCGGTGTTCTCGATGGACAGATACGCGGAGCCGCCCATGGGAGCCGCCTTGCTGCGAGAGAGATCCTTGTAGGTGGGGTCGATCATCTTCGAAATGTGGTTGAAGGCCGAGTTGAACAGGTCACATCGACGTTTCTTGATGCGGTTGAACTCGTCCCGTGCGTCCTTGGCCTGCCGACGAGAGCGATCGAACTCCTTCTCGGTCTCAGCGAGCTTGGCTTCCGTGTCGTCGAGACGCTCGACGGCCTTCATGTTGGGCGACATCTTTTCGATCTCGGCCGTGATGCTCTCGATGCGGGTCTGGAGCTCGTTGCCCATCGAGGCGCCGCCGTCCTCCTTGGCTTCGTCATCGAGGCCGCTGAAGTCGACCTGGATGCCAAAGTCGGGAACGGATAGGGGCTTCTGCGTGTTGTCGTCGTCGTCGACGTCCATTGGAGCTTCGACATCGATAGTCTCCTCGAGGCCGACCTTGGCAAGCGAACCTTTGAGCAATGGCAGTGTGATCTCCTCGAGTCGACATCGACGGTAGATTGACGCTCGCTCCGATCCGAGACGCTCGATCTCGTCATTGCGCCCGGCGATCTCCTTCGACAATTGGTCGAGAATGCGCGTCGCCTTTGCCAGTTCAGCGCGCTTTTCCTCCAGCGTCGCCTTCTTGGCTTCGTTCTGCGTTTGAAGCTCGGATCGCTGGGACTGCATCTCGGTGATCTCCTCGAGCATGCCGTCCAGCTCGTCCTGCTTGCCCTTCTTCTGCGCTTGCAATGCCTGCAGCTTCTCGCCTTCGCGCTTGATTGCATTGCGAAGTGTCTCGAGACGATCCTGCGTGTTCTCGATCTGCTGGCGCTCAAAGTTCGCCTGGTGGTTGAGACGGGCGAGTTGCGACTCGAACTGCAGCTTAGCATCGCTTTGACGCTCCATGAGGCGAACTTGGCGCTCTTCGTACTCTCGGATGTGGGCCACACCGATGCGACGGCAGAAGGCGACAAAGATGCGGTCCTCTTCGCGGTTGACGACCGTTTCCAGCGCCGACATCTTGCGCTGTAGCTTCTCCAGCTCCGTCTTGGCGCTGCGCAGCTTGGGCTGGATCTCTTTCACCTGCTTGTCGATATTCTTGAGCTCGTCGCGGATGCCGGAGAGTCGTGTTGTCAGAGCAGCAAGCTCGTCTTGTGCCGACCTGAGGTCGGCCTCGAGACGGGTGATCTTGGCGATCATCTCGTCATCGCTGACAAAGGCGCGCTTCTCCTTCTGCAGCTCCTTGAGCTCGGCGAGGCACTTGTCGCGCTGGGTGGTGAGACCCTGCACTTCTCGCTCCTCCCAACGCTTGCCTCCCGTGGAGCTAGATTGACCACCCGTCATGAGACCGCTCTTGTGGATGACGGTGCCCTCGAGGGTGACAGCTTTGGCCTCGACCTTCTTCTCATAGACGACCGATCGGGCAATGTCGATCGTGTCGCAGACAAGCGCGTTGCCGCAGGCATGGTGGATGGCTCGTTCGATGGAAGCGTCGAACTGGATAACGTCGACAGCCAGACGAGCACCTCGAGCAATGCTTCGCAGGCGATCGTTGATGGGACTCGCCTGAATGCGGTCGAGCGGCAAGAAGTTGGCCTGACCAGCCCGAGTGTTGCGCAGGTACTCGATGCAGTCGATGGCGGTCTTTTCCTGGTCGACGACAATAGCGTCGGTGTTGCGTCCTAGTACGGTCGAGATGGCGAGGTCGTACTTGCGCTGCACTGGTTTGCAGAGATCCACGACTCGGCCGCGAACACCGGGAAAGACGCGCTGAAGCTTAGCGACGGTCTCCTTCATTGCTGCTTCGCGTTCCGCCTCTTTAGTGTCGTTGCCGGCCTGCAGAAGCTTGTTGTAGGCCACTTGGAGGAGATCGTTGAGTTTGGTCTCTCGCTGATTGATGGCAGTCTGCTTTGCTTGTGTCGCGGTGAGCTCATCTCGCGCGGCTTTCAAGTCGGAGTCGATCTGGTTGCGCTTGGCTTCGAGGGACGAGTGTCGTTCTGAGAGGGTCGACTCCTCGTCGTTCAGCTTGTCTTTCTGCTTGCTGAACTGCTCTGTCTTGTCTTCAAAGTCCTTGACGGCGTCGGTCTTGATTCTGGATTCACGCTTGAGTCCATCGAGCTCCTGACGCTCTGCGACCGCCTCGAGATTAGCTTGCGCCTTGAGGTTGTGGTACTCGCCCAAGTCGGCCTCGCTGAGTGTGAGACCAGCCGACTCGAGGGCGCGCTGCTGCTCTTCGGCAGCACGATCTGCTGCTCGCTGGACGGTCGCTCGATCACGCTCGAGCTTGGCGAGATTTGCCTGCTGCTTCTCGAGATCGCGCTCGACCTGTTCTGTCATTCGAGCACCGTTGTCAAGCCTCTTGCGCGAAATGGCAATCTTCTCTTCATAGGCGTCCAACGTCGGGCGCAGGTCCTCGACGTCGCGATGCTTTCGCTTGATCGACTTTTCGACCTGGAGAATCTCGGTTTGTGTCTGACCCTGATCCCGCCTTGCGCGGTTGAGAGCATCTTCGGCCTTCTTGTGTTCGGTGCGCAAGGGACGCATGTTCTTTGCTTGTGTCTTGATAAAGTCGGTGCTGAGCTCGATATCGTCATTGATGTGGAAGAGACGCCAGAGGACGTGGTTGAGAATGTGCTGGACGCGGTCCTGCTGGAGACGCTCGAACTTTTCGGCTTCGCTCTTCTGTTCACGGAACTGCTTGAGCTCCGAGTTGATGCCTCTGCGCTTGTTGAAGTTGAAGGTCGAGTTGTCAGTGGCGCGTTCCTGAGCCTCCTTTGCTCGCTCGTATTCGTCTTTGAGCTCGAGCGAGCCGCTGATCTGGTCAATGAGTCGGCTCAGCTCCTTGGCTCCCTGAGAAGCGACGGCCTCGACGTCGCCCTGGAAGACGAGGAAGTTCTTTGCCTTTACGAGGATATTGAACTGCTCGAGCTTTGCGTTGTACTGTGCGTATTGGATGGCTCGACCATTGTATCTGTATTCGCTGGAACCCGAGATGGTGATGGAACGCTGGAAGCGGTGTTCGTAGCCTTTTGCGTCGATGTAGACGGCGGTGACGCTGGCCTTGGTTGCTGTGCCCTCGCCCTGGTCGTCTTCATCGGACTCTGAAGCGTCGTCGTCATCTGCTGGACTGTCGCTGGCTCTGCCCATCTTGCGACCTCGAAAGATGAGATCTTTGAGCTGGCTCGATCGAAGCTGTGCGGAGCGGACGCCAAGCACGAAAGAGATGGCGTCCATGAGATTGGACTTGCCGCTACCATTGGGACCGATGACTGCGGTGAAGGCATGGAAGGGACCGACGACCTGGTGGCCGCGGTATGACTTGAAGTTGTCGATTTCGAGGTGATGGAGAGGCATTTTGAAGGCGAGTCTAGAAGAAGGGCCAAGGCCCTCTAAGGAAGGTGAAGTTCGGTATGAGTCCTAAGTCGGGAGTTGCGAAGTGAGAAAGGAATGTTGTCTTGAAGCCGTGATAGGAGTGGATGGCGAGCTGGAAAGGTGGCTGGGCAAGGTAGCATCAAAGGGGGCAAAGAAGGATGAGCTCGAGACATGTGCGTTGCTGTTCTTCTCCGCACCGAGCGCGAGAGGCGAGAGCGAGCAGAAGAGTCCAACATCAAATTTCCAGAGCCAAGACGCGACTGCGCTCTTTCCAAGCCTCAACCCAACTCAGCAGCACGCACCTGAGCCCTAATCAACGCGTCCGTCTGGGACGCGCGCCTCTCTTTGCTGCGCAGGGTCGCTCGCAGAGAGACAGCCTGACTGACACGCGTGCTCAAAAAATTGGGCCAAAAGCCTCCACAACTCAGCGCAGCGTCTCAAGCGCTGAACCCTGAGCCTGCTCGCTACGCCAGGTGAGCTCGTCGACTGAGCCAAAAAAGTTGCGTTCTTCCAGCACCATTTCGCATTGGCCAACGCCGAGACACACTGCAGCCTCTTAGCAGTCGAACCTCCCTTCCGCGAACACATCCTTGCCATTGCTACGTCACTCCCCTAAGGTGCTGGCTGGGACCATATCCCGATCGCCAGCGTTTTCCTCAACTTCCGACCACCATGCAGGCGTGATTGTCTCGTCATATACCCAAAGCAACCTCTTGGCAGGAGCATCGGCGCTTTCAGCTGATCCGGCAACTGTCATGCCGACGTCGGCGGCCGCAATGCGCAGGTCATCGCCGGCTTCTCCATCAAGGCGGCATAAGCGCAAAGTTTCCGAGCTCGGTGATGCTGCTGGTCCGTCTTCGGCCGTAGGACGCAGCAGAACCACATCCGGGAGCCCTTTCCAGTCCGATTACGCCCCATCCAGTGCCACGTCCTCTCCGATCAAACGTCAGTCTATAGCCTCGCCATCACGTCGCAACAGTCGCCAGACGCGCACGTTCCAGATAGCAGAAGAGTACGACCCAGATCAAGACGCTCCATATGACGAAGATCTCGACGCCGATGGCGAGTTCGACGAAGAATTCGTCGAAGAAGACGCCGCAGGGCCGAGCGGCAGCGGTGATCTGGGGCCTCGCGACCAGGGTTCAGCGAACGATACGCCTCAAGCATCCACCGCGACAGCGACACCGGCGAGGCAGTCGGCGCGGCCAAAACGAAGCAATGCACCAAATGTCTCCTACTACGACTTACAGCCGTTACCAGGCGCTTCGGACGAGGAGCAAGAAGAGGTCGTCACACCGTCCATGAGGCGACGAAATAAGGCTAACAAGCTACCACCTACGTCAGACGTTGAAGCTGAACTGGCTGATGTTGTCGAAGAGCCCGCAGCTGCCACGGCGAGATCCAGCACTAAGGACATCAACACACCATCTGCTTCCAGACCTTCGGCAAAGGCTCCGCGGCAACCCACACAGACCGAGTCGATCGAGGCAAAGAAGCGCAGCGTTGCCAGGTCTGAAGAGCCGGAACTGTCAGAGGAGGCCAAACAGCAGGCCAAAGCCGAGAAAGAGGCACATGATCTGCAGACTCGGTGGACCGAAGAGTACTTTGAGATCGTGGAGCAGCTACCATTGGAACTACATCGCACCTTCGCGTTGATGCGAGAGCTCGAGGGTCAGATGCAGGCACGCACAGGTACAATGGTCGCCAACATGACCGCCTATCGCGACGCAAGAACGGAGATGCAGAAGCTCATCGACAATCCTCACAAACGCATCATCTCGCAGGACGGTCAAGAGGGGCGCAAAAGTGTGAGGGGAAGCAGCGAGGATGAGGCCGAGAACCTGCTTGGCGGGTCGCAGGGCGAGCCAGTCGATGGAGAGCGAGCGGTAATCGAAGAAGACACGGACCCGGAAGCCGACGACGATTTGGACGCGGCGACGCTTCTTGACAAGGACGCTCGACGCGAACTGCTGCGCTCTATCTCGCTGGCAGCCAACGAGTCTGTCAAAGCGGCCGAAGAAAAGATGGGCTTGGCAGCAACGGCCTACAACGGTATCGATCGGCACATTCGTCGCCTCGATGCAGACATTTCGAAACTCGAAAGCAGCATCCTGCTCGGCCTGCGGACCGGCACGGAGGAGTCCAGAGGCGCGAGAGAAGCGCTCGGCTTGCCTGTCGACGATGATGCGATGGCTGAAGCAGCGGAAGGCGGCGAGACAGCAGGCACGGAGGTCAGGACAGAGGCCGAAACTGCAGCGCTGACCAAAGCGGCTGGCGCTGCCAACCGCAGAGGATCGGCGAGTGAGAAGAGGATCACGCGGACAGCGGCCAAGCCCGCCACATCGCCCACAGCTACCGAACAACGAGCAACACGATCTCGCTCTCGTTCCGCCTCTGCTTCTGCCACAGCTGCCGAACGAGCATCTCCAACAGCCGCGCGCGCAACACGTCAAAAGACCTCCTCACCAGCCCCAGCACGATCCAGTCGCAAACGCAAACCACAACCGCTCTCCCCCCAAAAAGGCGGTCGGCGATCCGTCGTCACCACCACACCCACCGTCATCTCGCCCACCACCCAACTTCCGCGCGACCTGGCCACGCTCATGGGCCCGGACGTGTCCGACATGCCCATCGACCCGACCGAACCCACCTACTGCTACTGCGGCCAGGTGTCGTACGACGAGATGGTGGCGTGCGACAACGACGATTGCACCATCGAGTGGTTCCACTACGCGTGTGTCGGGTTGACCAGGCAGCCCAAGAAGGAGTGGTTCTGTCGTTTTTGCGCGCCCAAAGGGTGGAAGGGGGAGGGTATGGAGGTGCCATCCAATGCGATACATAAGCCGCCTGGATGGAAGAAGGCCACCGCGACCAAGTGATCACCTTCACAAATCCTCAGTTCACTTCTTTTTGCAGAGCTCAATCTCATCACGCTCGAGCAAACTGCTCCGTCTCATGTCTGTGAAAAAACTGCAATGCATTGTCTTGAGCAGCAAACCTACTCGTCCATCGTCTCCTCCGCACCACCCTCCACCCCTTCCTTCGCCCGAACACTCGGCGCATCCTCCTCGACACTGGCAATGCCCGCCATCTCGGCCAACCCATCGATGATCCGCTCGCAGCTATCCACATGCCACTCGGCCAGCGTCTTGCGGTTGTTCGGCCCGATCATGGTCGTATAGATCCCACTCCGGGTCAGCTTCAACTTCTTCGGACTGCCCACGGGCGAGTTGCTCTTGAGCGGCGTCGGGGGGCTGATAATCAGACTCTGATCCTTGGGTGTCTCCCTGGGCGGAGCGAGACTCTTACTCGGGTTCTCCACGTGCGCCTCCTGCTCTGGGGAGGAGGGGGCGAGGTTGAACAGCGTCCGGAACATGTCTTCGTCCGTCTTGTCGTCTCCTGCGCAAAAAACGAATTCGGCATCCGGATGATCGTACAGAATCCGCTTAACGATCTCCCCCTTGTTAATCGCCAGGGGTCGAACCTCCAGATTCTTCTTCCCCACCAACACTTCGATGGCCAACTTGTTCTGGCTCGTCAAATTCTCCAGGTGCGCCTGACACTCTTTTGCCTGGAAAGAGCCGAAATCCGGATCGGCAGCTCGATAATGCCATGTGATGGCGGACTTCTTCATCTCGATAAAGCTACCCGCCGTACGCTCGGTGTAGTACTCGAAGACGGAGCGGATGTCCTTCATCCACGTCATATCGAGCGCTTCTGTCAAATTGCGGTACTCGTCCTGACCGGGTTCTTTGACGAATCCGCCGTGTTCTGCGGAAAAGCCGATTTGACGGAATTGGCCGAGATGCTTGCTGAGGAAGCCGCCGTCTCGACCCGAGATGATGTAGATCACGTTGCGCGGATCGGCGGAGAGCACCTCGAGCGCTTTGAGCAGTCGGTCGGAAGGTAGGGCCATCTCGGGTACTTTGACAATGGGGGTCAGCGTGCCATCGTAGTCGAGGAGGAGAAGGCGTTTGCCGGCGGCGGCGTGCTTGGCCACCATCTCTTTGCGGTCCAAGGGTGGGGTTAGGTGCGCGGAATGCTCGTTGTGAAGGCGGGTGAGAAGCTGTTTGACGAGTCCAGCGGCCCAGGTGTGGGAGGTATGCATCACCACTTGGTGGTACAGCTGATCGTGTCGCGCTCGCTTCTCCTCGTCTGTGAGGCGCAGCGCATAGTCGATGGCTTTGGCCACACCAAAGATGTTCCACGGGTTGACCTGGATGGCGGATCGCATTCGACCCGCCGTTCCCGTGAACTCGGAGAGAATGAGCGGACTCTTGTTGAACCGGTTCTGGCAGATGATGTATTCCATCGACGTGGTGTTCATGCCATCGCGGACCGAGGTGATGAGCGCCAGGTCGGCCACGCTGAGGAGCGCAAAGTACTCATCCCGGTCGATGATCTGGTGGTAGTGGTGCACGGGCGTGAAACTGAGCGAGCCAAACTCGCCATTGATGTGCGAGACCAGCTCGGACACCTGGCGCTCGAGCTTGGGCGAGTCGTTCAGCGCAGGCGCCGTCACCTGGATGAGCACCACCTTGTTGCGCCACTCCGGATACTCAGCGAGGAACTTGTGGAACGCCTGCAGCTTCTGGACCACGCCGCGGACCACGTCGAGCTTGTCCCGTCCGACGAGGATCTTCTTGCCCTTGTACATCTCGCGAATCGCCTCGATCTTGGGAAGGACGCCTTCGGACGAGCTGTCCTTGGCGATCTTGACCGAGTCGATGCCGATCGGGTTGTAGGTGATGTTAGTGACGTGGCCGTTGGAGGACTCGACGGCATTGGAAGACGCCTCGTAGCCGCAGACGCGGATGCACGACGACAGGAAGTGGCGCGAGTAGCTGAACGCCTGAAAGCACGCCAAGTCGGCGCCGAGCATGCCTTCAAGGATCTCCTTACGTTTGGGCAGGCAGCGGAACACCTCGCTACTGGGGAAGGGGGCGTGAACAAAGAGGCCGATCGTAGCATCGGGCACGAGCTTGCGCAGCATGAGCGGCACGAGCAAGAGATGGTAGTCGTGGATCCAAACGAGGTCACCGGGCTTGTATTCTTCGGCGATGCGCTTGGCAAAGGCCTCGTTGGCGGCGTAGTACGCGTCCCAGCTGTACTCTTCCCAGGCTCGACGTTCCGAGTTGACATCCTGCCAGAGAAGGTAGTGGAAGAGCGGCCAGAGCGTGGCTTTGCAGTAGCCCTCGTAGTGGCCGTGTGCGATGTTGTAGTCGAGCCAGACGGGCACATACTTGATGCCGTGTTCTTCGTCGACCGAGTTCATCGCGGCAGCAGAACGATTGTTGTGTGCAGAAGTGGCGGCGGCGGTTGCAGCCTTGTCATCGCCAGAGATGCCATTGAGGCGCGTAGTAGGATCGCCAGAACCAACAGGCTCGGCACCGTTCATGACGGGAATTGGCACCTTGCCCACGGGTGGCTGGTTGGAAGCTGGATCGATGGGAGCACCTGCGACCGGACCCTGCTGCGTGACCCATGCACTGGCTTGGTCGAGCGAAGCAAGCACCTCTTCGATCTCGCGCTTCTCGTTGTTGGTGGTCTCGGAAGGGTCGTTGCGCTGGTCGTCGCGCGCCTGAGCGGCAAAGCGAACGTCGCCGGGCCATCCGATGAAGGTCTGACGGTGACTGGTGCACAGGCTGCGAATACCGCTGTTGAGAGCAGTATGTCCGCGTCGTGCGGTGAGCACCCACTGAGGAGGCGGCGGCGCGGTAGGAGGCGAGTCGACAAAGGGGCTGTTGGTGTCGCTGACGCTGCCCCACTGCTTCCACGGCTCCTGAACGACGCTGCTGAAGCTTCCACGACTGCTGGGCGCCCACATGGAGCCTCTGCGCGATCCGACAGGTGTGAAACGGTCATCCTCGGAACACTCGCTGGTGTCGTCGACGACCTCTGTCATCATCCATGCCCTTCGTCCAGCGCGGCGTCGGGAGCGTTCTTGGTTCTCTCGGAGTCGTGCTTCGAAGTCCTGACCTTCGAGACCAGTCATGCCGAACCCGGTTGCGAACGAAGATCGGCGTGAGCTAGCGCGGAAGCTGTTCTTGCGCGAAACGATCTCCTGCAAACCAGCTTGACGTTGGAGCTCACGTTGAGCCTCCATCTCGCGCTTTTCAGCCTGTGCTGCTAGTTTGGCCGCCTTTCGTGCTCGAGCGGCGGCCGCCATGGCAGCAACGCTGGCGGTAGCAGCTATCCTTTCTTCACGTTGTCGCTCGAACTCGACCTCTGCCAGCGGACGAATCTCGAAGGGAATGTAGTGGCTAACATGGATGATGCGACCGCTGAGGGGCATCTCGGGGTGCTTTGCGTTGAAGTCGTCTTCGAGATCCTTGACGACTTTGCGCATATCGTCGAGTGTCTCGAATTCGGCTTGCGCCCCCAGGTCACCGGTAGCAGCGGTGCCGAGGCCCATGCCGCCGATGCCATCGGGACGCATCGAGATGAGGTTCTGAGGAGCAAATGGAGCAGGCGATGCGACCACCTTCTCGCCGTTACCAAGGAACGATTGCTGGGCTGCACTGTTGCTGGCAGTCTGGTCCGAGGTGGACTTAGAGATGGAAAGAGATGCCGAGATGATGCCCTTTTCGGCCTTTTCGCTTTCGCGTTGAAGTTGGCTGCTTGAAGCTTGGTCTGAAGGCTGAGCACGAGGCGAGTCAGCTTCACCGTTGAGAGTCGTCTTCGCTGGCGCGGCGCTCTTGAAGTAGTCAACACTTGGTGGCTGCGACGAAGGATCAGCGGGTGAGGATGAGGAGAGAGAGGACGATGCGCCTGCGAGGGTATTGCTCGTGATGTCGGAGGAAGAGTGAGCCGCAGTCTGATCCAGAGATGCCGACCCAGTAGACGTGTTGGGATTGGTGGGCTCGAAGGTGGGCGGCTCTTCGGCAAAGACGCCAGGAGTGAGAGAGCCACGACGTTCGAGAGATGATGGTGGTGGAGGGACAGAGAGGGAAGATTGAGGGCTGGCGCGCTTGGCGGGAACGCTGTTGTTGCGCGCAGCGCCTGCACTTGCGCTCGAATCGGCCGTCATGATTAAGCTTAGCGGGAAGGTTTCAAGCTTGAGTGTTTCACTGCGCAGAGATTGTGCGAAACCAAGTCTATCAGTCTGACCGAGAAAGTGCTGGAACGATTCAGACTGCAGAGCAGCGCAGACTGAGCCGATCTGTCGCTGATCGATTCGACGGCGCAAGATGCGAAAGCTTTGCGCAGGCTCGCGAGTGGAGTGTGGGAATGCTGAAAGCGTGAAAGGTCGTTTGTGGCGCAGGAAAGGTGTTGATCACAAAGCTTTGCAGCGAGGTCGAGTGATTTGCAGCCGCCAGCCAGCCACCTTGCGTCGATTTTGCCGCCCAATCAGTCAGCGTGTGATTGATGTGCAGATGAAAGCGTAGAGCTGATTGCAGTCACGTCAGACTCGATGCGAGACCTGGTCGTTGGATGAGATGGTGTCGAGCTTTGCACTGGGAGTGGCTCTGCGCGAAAGGTTGATGCTGAAGCCGGTGATCGTAAGGCACAACCACCTCGGATCCCAGATAAAGCTGCCCGGGGTTGGGGTCGCAATCGCAATCTTGACTGCCGAAAGAGCTTGCTCGAAATTTCGCGTGTGCGTGTGTCTGTGCAGCGAGAAGAGTCAGCAGCGTCACACCGCTTGGGTCGATCCGGATTCGAAAATAAGCCACACAAGAAGAAGGGCCGAGCGCGGGTGGAGATTCGGACGCCAAGAAAACACACCGGCTGTCATCTCGTACCGGCCTGACATGTGGAATCACCGAAAAACCGGCAGCGAGAGGTTTGACATTGCGGAGCTTGACATTCGCTTCTTCGCGCTGTTGGTCTGAGCGTGGTGTTGTTCTCCCCTCTCCCTTCACTATACCGTTCTGTCCCATAGCAATTCTTCGTTACCACATCGCTTCTGAAGTAGGAGCCGAGGCAGCAGGGATGCAAGCGTCGACATCGACAGCGACGGCCATCGTCGCGGCAGCCCAAGATGCTTCGTCGCCCACCACACGCAGGGCACCGCAGGAAGCACCGGCCTCATCTTCACCCCTGCCTTCCTCTACCGCAAACCTCGCGCACTTTCTCGAACCATCCTTCGACGCCACCGCCTACGTCGCCTCTCTTCTGCACACTACCGCTTCCGCACCTGCGACAACAGCACATCCGACATTAAGTTCACCAACAGCGCGTAAAGCATCCCTGTCGCCCACTAACCCCACCGTCGCCTCTTCTCAGAAACCGAAGAGCCAGGCGCAAGAGGAAGTCGACCTCTCCCTCACCATCTCCCGGCTCAATCTGGCGATCGAAGAGCTGGATCGGAGCATCTCGCTCCAAGTGGACGCGCATGCGCCGGCGCTGCTGCGGCGCACGGCGGGGCTGGCGAGCATGCAGGCGGGCGTCGCGGAGACGAGTCAGGGTGTGAGCAGTTTGGATGAGCAGCTGGTGGGGCTGAGAGGGCGGGTGCATGAGCCATTTCAGAGGCTGGTGGGGCTGCAGAGGGAACTGAGGGTGGTCGATGGGGCGAGTGGGTTGGTGAGGCGGGCGAGGGGGGTCGTGGGGCTGGCGAGGCGGTTGGAGGTGCAGATGGAGGTGGTGTTCGGCAAAGGTGAGAAGAGGGATGGAGAGGGGGAGGACGCGGCGGTGGGACAGGTGCATGGGCGGGATCTGGCGCGGGCTGCATCGCTTGTCGCAGAGATCACCTCTCTCCTTGACGCAGAGCCGAAGCCTTCAACATCACAACCAGAGGACGCCGGGAGTGCCTCACTGCACGACCTCAAACTCATCCAAGACCTCCTCCCCACCATCACCACCGCGCGCAAAACAATCGTCGACTACATGGAGGACATGATCGTCCGTGGCCTTCGCGACCTCTCGCCGCTCATGCTCGGCTCTTCCCTCCAGACGGCCTTCAACCTTCGCATCCTACCCACACTCGTCCAGGACCTGCTCAACGACCTCACCCAAGTGGTCCGCGAACGCACCGCCGCAGCGTTCGACCTCGACATCCTCTCGCGTCAACTGCAACTTCCGCTACCCACACTCGATGCTCCGGCACCCACCTACTCGACCTACCGCAGCGGCCGTCGCAGCATCGGCAACACCGAAGACGAGCTCAAGCAGCAGCATCACCACCAGCAGCAGGTGTGGTCCGAGGCGGTGTGGAAGAAGCTCGAGTCGCTGATCGTCACCGAGATGGGCGCGGTGTGCAGTAAGGTCTATCTGCTGGAAAAGGTGTTGAAGCTCAAAAGCGATGGTGAGACGGGCGTCAACTTTCTGGGTGCAGCGCTGGAGGTGTTGGGGGACAAGCCGAGTCATACGTTCTGGATGACGTTCGCGCAGAGTCTGAGGGAGCAGGTGACGCTGGCGACGGGCAAGTCGGCCTGGTTGGCGCAGCTGTTGAGTGGCGGCGTCAGGGCGGGCGAAGGGTATCCAAAGTTCATACGGCTCTTTCAGGAGTTCTTCGCCAAGATCTCGCTGTACACGGATGTACAGTATACGACGACGCATCAGAGCGCCGAGACGGTGATCTTGCTCAAGAGCTTGGGTGGGCTCGAAACGGCCTATGTGGAAAAGAGCACAGGGCGCATTGCCGAGATCTTGTCGCAAGTCGCGTCGCCGTCGGGCGGGAGAAGGCCGTCCGTCGGCGAAGAGGAGGCCGGGACAGTAGTTCGATCCATCACCAACGTCTTGGACACGACACGGTTCGATCCGCTGCTCGAGCGAGCTGTCGTCGCGCGGTGTTCAGCGTTGATCGACCACTTCGTATCACGGCTGGACTCGCTGACAGCAAAAGACGACTCGGCATGGACACTCACCGGCGACGCAGGCAGTCCGACCCAGGCACAGATGTGGAACGCCAGCCTGGTTCAATTCGCCTACACTTTGTCGCAAGGTCTGCTCAGCCTGGCGGCGGATCAAGACGGCTCCGCAGCAAACGCACCGTCGTTTGCCTCAACGCGACTCGCAACCTCTGCATCCTCCATCCAGAACGCGACTCGCACAACGCTGCTCGACCCTTTGTTGTCGCACATCAACACCTCTCTCAGCTCGACGATGGCCAAGATGCACGTCCAGCTCGCATCCGCCAACGCTTCTGCCGAGAAGAAACGCGGCGTGTCGATCGACTCGACCACCGGAGCTTCGGGGTACGCCACGTCGATCTGTGAAACGCTCTCCTACCTGCGCGATGAATTGCTGCCGCTCTACCTGTCGGCGCTGCGTTCTGCGATTGCAGGGAGAATCGCGCGGTGGGTCGTGGAGCTATTCTGCCTGCATGCGTCGGTGGTTGCGTTGCCGTTGGCCGAGGGAGGGGAAAGGGTGAAGCTGCGCCTGGCGACGGATATGACCGAGTTCGAATTTGCGCTGACGCAGTTGGTGGGTGACCATTTCGTGGCTCGAACGTCGGTGTCGGCGTCGGCGTGGATTGTGGAGGAAAAGGGACTTGTGGGACAGGGAGACTGGATGAGGACGACCAAGGCGTTCCGTCGGCTGCTGTTCCTGTCGTTAGACGAAGTGGAGCAGGAAACAAAAGGGCAAGCATTGGGGCTGCCGAGCTTGCTTGTGGTTCTGCATCTCTTCTCGCGGCAGTCGGAGGTGCTGGATGGTGTGCTGCGGGAAACGCTGGCCATCGCAGTTGTTGGGAAGAAGGGCAAGGCTCAGAATGTCAGGTCTGACTTTGTGGGCTGGGTTCGATCGACGTCGCAATCAGAGGTGTCGGGGACGATCACGGAGGCGTTGCCGGACGACGCAGGATTGGACGAAACAACAGATCGAATCGTCCGCTCGCTCTTAGCTCAGTCTTGATCGCATTTCACCTTGTCACACTTCGCACGCACCGTCACATCAGCATCAATGTCAAGCATCTATGGCATGACCTCGCACACAGTCACATGCACACACGCACGTCGTCTCGCACCATCGATCTGCTCAGCATGATTGCTCGCCCTCTAGGCATCCAAATGAAACTGCAAAATCTCCACCCCGGCCTCCTTGAAGATCCCTTTAGTTCTTTGGTCCATCCCATACTCCAACTGGTACACGACCCTCCTGATCCCCATTTGAACAATCTTGACTGCGCACCGCAAACACGGGCAGGTATTGCAATACATCGTCGCACCTTCGCTTGCAATCTTCCCCCTTCCCGCTTCGAGGAGGGCGTTTTCCTCGGCGTGGAGGCAGAGGCACTCTTCGAGGTTCTGACCGCATCCATTCCCCTGTGAGGTGGAAGCTAAAGTGTTGTTGCAACGGGCACAGCCGCCCTGGTTGCAATTGCGAAGGCCGGAGGGGGTACCGTTGTAGCCCGTGGCGAGGATTCGGTTGGTAGCAACGAGAACGGCGCCGACCCGTCGCTTCATGCAGTTGCTCCGGAGCGAGGCCAGGTTGCAGAGCTTGAGGAAATAGGTGTCCCAACCCGGACGGAGACGTTCGTTGGAGGGGAGATCGAGCGTTCGAAGTCCTTCGTAGAGGAGGTCCAGGTTGGGATGCGTGTTGTTGATGCTGAGGTGAGTGTACCGCCGCAAGGCCGTGAGGCCGGAGACGGGGTTGGAGGGGAAGGGGGAGAGTGAGATCGAGGCAATGTTGTCGACGATACCGTTGCCACCGACGATCGAACTGGAGGATTTGGAGGATAGCATGGGTCGAGATGTGAGGCCGTCGGGAGACGAGCCAGAGCCGTAGAGCACCGAATCGTCCAATCGCACAAAGTCTTCCAGGCCGATGGGGCCATGTTTGGATGAGTAGCGCTCCCACCGCATCAGCAGAGGCCCTGCAACTTCGACGCACAGGAAGAAGGGACGTTTGATGAAGGCGTCCAGATCTGAAAAGGTGGTCAGGTCCAGAGTTACGAAGCGGTCGTTCCAGCGATCCGTGACGTAGTCGAGCATCGTCTTGCTGTTGGGCAGCTGGATGGTGGACTCCGCCAAACTTGCGCCCTGCGAGCCGACAAACGCGTGAAGAGAGTCCTTCGGCGTGGCATGTGAGCTGCCGATATCGCTTGGATCCTTCGAGGTCGATTTGGAGTCTGCTAGCGGGGCGTGTGATGAGCCGGCAATCGAACCTTGACCATCGCTCGAACCCAGCGTGATCAGCCTGAAGCCATGTTCCTGGGCCAAGAACTGGGCAACGGAAGCTTTGCCTGCGCCTGGCGGCCCGATGAGTGCGATCAACATCCTTTCTGCGACACTTGGCGGTGGACTGGAGATAATGTGTTGGTGAAGCACAGTGATGATGATGGTGTTGGTCTTTGCGTCAGATTTTCTTTGCAGACACGTCTCAGCAGGGTTCCAGGGTTCAATTTACGCGTTGCCGTTGGCCCGGTCGCGATCCGGCCTGGGAAGCAACACCCTCAGCATTCCATAGCCAGTTTGAGCTCACACGACACATGGACCACTCATCCACACGAAACATCGAAATGCAATTCCGCACATTCATTGAGATCGTCTCTTACACGTCGACAGCCCTCACAACTTGGACCCCTTCCCATCCTTGCCCTTCCCCTTGCCGCCCTTATCCACTTTCTCCCCTCTCTCCTCCTCTTCCAGCTGACCCTCCGCCTCGCCCCCGTCGCCCTCCACCTCGGGCGGGCGAATACTCCGCATAGGCGCCAGCCTCCACTGCAGATCCTTCAAGCTCTTACTCTTCGGGTCCGGCCTCCACTCCTCATAGCTCTGCAGCAGACTCAGCATGTCCGCCGCAAACAAGCTCCGAACGTGCTTATCCTCGAACAAGCCCCGGAGCGACCAGGGCAGGTCGTACGGGTTCCAACGTTGTGCTTCGAACGCGTCCGACATGAGGGTGGGTGCGTTGGCTGGGTCGGTATCGGTCGCTCGGCGAGGTTCGATGGTGGTACCCGGGGGGCCAGGGGCGAAGGTCGGTTCGGCCAACGGGTGGGTCACCTCGAACAGGTAGCGCGTGGCTAGGTCGTAGACTGCCCGCTCTCCGTAGACTAGAGAGTGGCCAAGGCCACCGTATAGACTGCCAGCGACGCTCGCTGAGAGGAGGGTGAGCAGGTTGTGGTCGCTCAAGCCGGCATTCCGAACGGCAACGCAGAGGACCAGCAAGTTGGTCAGAAAGTCTACCTTCGGGAAGGCCCGCCCGTCAATGTAGAGCGCGCGCAGGATGCTCGGATGGTTGTTGCTCGAGTTGAGCGCAGAGTAGATCGGCACCACGTTGTCATCCGTCGATCCAACATACACGCACTTCACCCCGGCGTCGAGGATGATCTTGAGCGCTGCGGTGTACTGCTTGGCTGCAGCTGTGGAGGAGGATTGGAACTCGAACAGCTCTTTGGCAGCAGCGTTCTCAAAGTAGTTGATGTAGCTCGCGGTGATGCTCGACTTGAGATGCGCAAAGGGACCATGGTGGACACCGCACATTGCCAGCAGACAGATCCGTGTAGACTCGGCTAGAATGTGTCGCTGCTCGATCAGGCGCGCGAGAAGCTGCGTGGCCACGATAGCACCCTGCGAGTGGGCCGAGAGGAAGACCGCATCGGCATTCTTGAGATCGTTGACCCAGTTTGGCCTGCTGATCAGTTCCGAAAAGAGTCGATCGACACGATCGGCTACCTTGCCGTCGCCCTGCAGCGAGATGGCGGTGATCGCTTCGGGGTTGAGCTCGAGCCCAGCCTCCAAGAAATGACGACGGATCGACTCGGTCTGCATGGCCGCAAATTTGGCCGACGTTCCGGTTGGTTCGCCAATGACGGTCTTGAAGATGCTTTGCGAGAACCAGCCATGCACGCCGATGACCACGATCTTTCCGATGCCAGCGGTGCCTTTACACTGAGCTCGCTCGTGCAGTCCAACAGTGGACCAAGCGCGTGGCAGACGTTGCGCTGACTCGGCCACCTCCTTGAGGGCCGTCTCTACGCCTTTGTCCTTGCTCGATCCCGCTCCAGTAGCTTTGGCTTTACCTGCAAGTCGCTGAGTCGAGCCCTTGCCAGCGAACGAAGCCGCATTGCCCTTGAAGGAAGATGCGCTGGACCCGAGATTCTGTTCGCCGTATGTCGAGAAGCGTGTGGGTCGCTTCATGCGATCCAGGTCAGGCACCTTGCTGAAGAGGTAGCTGTTAACGGCGCTGAGCGTCCTCTCTAGCACGCCGACCTTGGGTGACCACATCCTAGGCGCTCTTGTGAACGTGTCCTCGAATGATGGCAGCACAAGATTCGGTGGAACGACCGGGATCGGGTCTCCAACAGACTTCGTAGGCGTTGGCGTGCCAGGACGAGAGGGGCCCGATCCGTTCGGCGCCAGCTTCTTGCTGATGTCCTTTGCCGGCTGCCCGTTGCTGCCCGCATTGCCACCATTCGAGCTGCTGCCGTTGCCGCTAGATTGAGCACCATCCGTTCGCTTGCCTTTGCCAAGTCCAGCCGTGGAAGCTGCGGCGACGTTGGCGGCTTTAGTGATGGCCGTCCTGCCCAGATTCTTGATGCTCTCCTTGCTGGTCAACGATCGAGCAGAGGTATGGTGGCCTTCAGAGTCGCCAGCAAGTGACGATGCTCTGGAGCCACCGAGGCTTCCAGCTTTAGTCGTCTTCGGTCGTGTCGACGCATCCGGCGCGAGTCGGCCATTGCTTTGTGTGACAGCTTTGGCCACCGCCGGGCGATATCCTCCCTCGATGCCACTGATGTCCATGACCTCCATGCCGTCGTCGTTCGTAATTGCGTCACGCGCTTCTCTCGGCAGATTGGCGCTTCGAGAAGCGAAAAAGTTGATCCAGCCGCTGCGTGTGGCGTTGTTCAGCACCGCTTTGTTGGCATCGAACACGGCAGCTGCGGCATCCCTTGCGAGCGCATCGGCCTTGACTTGCTCGGCCGGTGTGCGCGGAGGCGCGTCCGCAGCTGTCTGACCCGGTGCGTCGGTCTCGTCCGCACCGGAAGCATCCGTAGCAGCGGCAGCCTCCTGTTCCTGTGCGTTGTATGCCCAAGTTGGCACCCAGCTCGCCAAGTACGATGAGTAGGTCCATGATCCTCCCTCGGAGGCTGCAGGTAGAGCAGCTGGAGCTTTGTCCTCTGGATCGATGTCCATGGGCATAGCTGTGTCTGCGCTGCGACTTTGCTGCGTGTCTGTGCCAGCTGCACCTTCCGGCAGCGTAGAAGGCACCTGTAGCTGCTGAGCAGTGGAGTTCTCGTCCACCTCAGGATGGTCCTCGTGGCCGGACCAGAACCTCCATTGCCAAGTCGAGCTTGCCTGTCTGGGGTCGTGCTCGGGCAGACTCGTCGATCCAGCCGGTGGGTAAGACGCTGGCTGTTGATCTGGCCCGGTCGGAGCAGCTAGGTCGCTTACCGCATCAGCAGGAGCCTCCTCCTGTTGTCGTGGCTTATCCAACGCTGGACTATCGAACATGTCGCGCAGATTTGCCACAGGCTCCTGCACTTCATAGCGTGCGCCCATCCAGCCTCGCTTGATCACGGTCCTGTACGTGACGGATTTCTCGCCATTCGCTTGTTCTGCTTCTAGAGCTGTCGCGCACGGTGCCTCTGCGACAGCGTCTGAGGTCGCGTTTGCAGCTTGAGGTGCTGTCTCGTCTACGTCAGCCTGCTGCTGTTGGTGATCAACATCATTCGCGGGCGGAGCGGCAGATTCTGCTGCCTCCTGTGTCGTGGGCAGAGCCACGTTCCGCCAAGGCAGCCATGACACACGTCTTTCTCGTATCGGGATCTGCTCTATCGTCGGCGCGACCTTCATTGTTACATCCGCGTCGCGCTTCGGTGGAAAGACTTCTTGATCCGATGGACCCTGCTCCGCACTCTTCGTCCCCGCAGAAGCGTCATAGACATCGTTGTACCCGAGCGACCTCCTGAACTCGGCCTCATCTTCATTCATCGGTGGAGGGGGTTGATCCGCCGTTGGCTCAGAAGCTTGCATGGGCTCGTCCTTGATATCGGTTGGCGCCGGATCACCCACTTCGGTGGCCCAGCCGAGACCAAACCAAGTCTTTCGGCGTGATGCTGTCTGGCTTGGGCTCTGTTGCATCGCGGTAGCTTCGGTGTCGCTAGTGCCTTCTTGAAGCTTGGCGCGAGGGTGCAAAGAAGAGCTGCGCTCCATCTCGTCAGCACTGCGTTTGACTTGTGTCGGTGACGCGGCCGGCGAAGTTGGCAGGCCATGTCCTAGATCTGTCGCACCAAGCTTCTTCGGTGAAACACTGACTGATGCCTCAGCAGTCGGTTTGGGGAGGCTCTGCAGCCTCTGTGTGGGAGACAGCGGCTGAGTGCGAGCTATGGACGAAGCAATACCGAGCGTGCTAGTGGGTGACCTTTGAGATACTGGCACAGCAGGCTGCAGTGAAGTTCTTGAGGCGATAGCAATCGGACTCTCCACAGCGATAGTCGAAGACCTAGCAGGCACAGCTCGAGATGCGGGCGGCTTCCCTTTGATTGTTGCGCTTCTCGACTGTTGAGAACCCGAAGCGCTCCGACTCTGAATTTGTGCGGCATGACCGAGCGCGGTGAGATGGCTCGTGTTATCGACAGTCCTCCCGTTGACAGGTGTATCGTCGATTCCCAGTTCCGGCGTTTGCGCATCCACCGACAGCTGTTCAAGGAACTGACTTGTGGGATTGCGGAAGGTCACCGAGTAATTTGACACAGATCGAGGGGCTCGAGGCGCTATTGAGAGTGTCGCATTGCCTCTCATGCTGCCTGATGGTGCAGCAGCTCCTAGATCGCCTCTTGGAATGGCGGTGGGGGCACCCCCGTTGAGCGTGGCAGAGCTCGTGACTCTGCGCAACGATTCCGCTGCTCCTGGTCTTTTCGGTCCTTGCGAGTCCGGTGTAAGATTGGCAGACTTCTGTGCTCGTTTCTGACGTTGAAGATCGTCTTTCGCATGGGCCTCGTCGAGGAAGCGTTGGAAGTCGTTGCTCTCATCCGCATTCGTGAGGGCTGCCGAGCTAGACGCTTTTCTGACGGACAGTGATGCGGGTGGTGCTGAGGCGTAGTATTGCGAGCCCGACTCACTACGAGCACCGAGGCTGATTGCGCTGAGGTTGGACGACGTGGAAGTGGATTGGGGCAGACCTCGACGATGGTGATTGCTCCTCGACTGAGTGGGAGAAGCAGAGATACGCCCGGAAGGAGCTGCCGAGGTCGAAGGCGCGGCTGCGCGATCTTGCGTCCAGGCTAGCGGCATGGTGAAGGAAGGAAAGGGCGTGCTTGACTTTACCTCGAGTGTTGATGCTGATGCTGATGCTGAGTAGCTGAATTCGACTGCTGGCTGCTGCGCATCAGCGTCCGGGTGCGCCTGTGCGTTTACTTCATCGCCCGATTGGCTACAAAGCAGCGCGCTGTGAGACACATTTGCGTGCTGAGCGTCTGAGTGCGATGATTGAGCGGCGCCGAAAGTGTCGTCTGAAGGAGGTGATGAAGGGCGAGGGTGACTGAGCTTTGTGATGCTGTGTGACTGTGAATGAGAGTGACAGCAGCCCAAAGAGCACAGGTGTTAGCTGTGCTTTTGCGGTAAGTCAGGCTCGGTTGTTGAACCCCTTTGGCTCGGCAAAAGTGTGCCTTTTGAAAGCGGTTCACAGACAGGGCAGATGCAGCACCGCACAGCAGCCTGCAGCTCACGCTGCGATTTTTTGGCTCGTTTTCCTCCACATCCCAGTGGAATTCTAAGATGTTAAGCTTCCTGACCAAGACCAACAGAGGACCCTGAACTCGCGAAGCTGCATCTTCCCCTCATCTACACTGAGCATTCTCCATCGCCTCTCGAGCAACGATGGCGGTGGAACCCATCATCGACGCGTCGTGGCATCGTCTGCCGAATGACGCCTTCTCAGATGGTCCCTCTAGCAGCACACCGCTGGACCCGACCTCTTCTGTCGACGACGACTCGGACGGCGCCTCTGAATGGTCCTTTACCGACGACGAGGAGCTCGTCACGCTCGACTTGGGAACCGAACGCATTGCCAAGCGTGCCCTGCTCGGCTACTCAGCTGGTCTTGACTTTGTATCCGAGCCTCATGCTGCGACCGCGACCTCATCTGCGCGGACGGTGCGCGGCTCTCGCGCTGGTGGTGATGCAAAGGCAACCGAAACATCCAAGCCCTCTAGCACAACCCATCTTGGCGCTGGCAAGCAGATGGCCATTACGGGACTCGACTCGGCCCAGCCACTACTTAAGATCAATGATACGGTACTCCGAGGCAGACGCATGGATCTGTTCGGAAGCGAGATTGTGCTCACGGACGAGTTCGATCCCACGCGACCACGGAGCAAGCAGCATCAATTGCAGCCGGTGCCTCCGTCGACGAGAGATGGTAGGGCAGATGCGCGCTCGACATCGACGAGGAAGAGGATCCTGTTCCGACCCATCTACGATCCTGCAGCGAGAGAGACGAGCGGCGGTAAGGATGGTGACGTGTATGAGAAGCTGAAGGCGCTGGCGAGGTCGAATCAGGGATATGTGCTCGAGTCCAGTGCGACGAGAAGTGGAGCGAGAGACGATGATGCACAAAGACTGGCGTCGGTAGCAAGTCTCATGGGTCCTCCGAATGGCCCATCGAGTACATCAGAGAAAGGCGTCGGTCGGGGCAAGTACAAGCGCAAAGGCATCTCGGAGGAAGAACAGATGATCAGAGCGGCAGAGAGGAAGATCAGGAAGGCGGCCAAGTTGCATCTTCAACAACAGCAGGAGCAGCAGGAGCGGCAAGGCTCGAGTTCAACGGCGCCACAATCCGAAGACACACAGGTGCCAGCGCCGCCCTCACACGAGCAGCCGCAAGAGCAGGCTGATGAAGACGCTGGCAGCAGCGGCCAGGATCCGCGACCACCAACATCCTTTGACCAAGCTGGATTGTGACACTCCAATTCAATTGCATCACATTCCGTATCAGCGTCACACTGCTTCTCGTTGAACTGAATTGCTAATTAAGCGCCCACAGCATCGTCTACGCCCAGTCATCGTCGCTATCATCCATATCGCCATCGGCGATCTCGGCGGCCAACTCTCTCTCCCTCTCGTGCGCCTCTGCGACACTGTTGAGCTCGGCCTTGTGTCCGTTGAGCGGGTAGCGCATCGCCTTGACGCTCTCGTTGTGCAGCTGAAGGCAGAACTGGATCCTCTGCTGGAACTGCTGCATCGGCTCGTCCGTCTCGTACAGGTCCTTACTCTCGCGATTCACCATCTCGGCCTTTTCGTGGTCCACGCGCGTATCTCGGCTGTCCACCACATTGTCGCGGATCGCCTTGGCCACAATGTACTCGGCATCCTCCTCCGACTCGAGGTGCAGCTTGTGCGTGATGTCCGCAAGCGAGATGCGCGAGTACGAGAGCGAGATCATTCGGATGCCCGTCTTGATCACGTTGTGGCGCAGGCGCACGATGAGCGAGAGCGTCTTGTCCGTCTGGAAGAGCGATGTGTGCTGTTGCAGTGTCGATTGGAAGCGTTGCAGGTCGCCGACGCGGACTGCCTGGACGATCTCCATGTAAGGGGCGAGAGCTTTGCGCAGAACGGGCGTGCGGAAGATCGATCGTTCCGGAATCTCACCCATGAGCAATTCGACGACAACAAGGAACTTGTAGGCGGTCTGCAAGAAGCCAGCTGCCGTCTGAGATTGACCGACGGGATTCGACTCTTTCTTGCTGCCGGCCTGCTTTTTCTCGACAGCCGCTGCTTTGACAGCACCTTCAGCATTGTCACCTCCAGCAGAGCTCGACTCCTGCGGAAGCGAAGCCTGAGGGGCACGTCGGATAGCCTGCTGCAAGTGCACGTGCGCCTGAGTGTAGTCGAGCTGAACGGCGCGGATTCGTCCCACGTAGTAGTCGTACCTGGCGACTTGAGGGTTGCTAGCGCTTGATCGCGGGAAAGGAGCCCTGGCCACCAGCTTGTCAGCCTGGTCGTACAGGTTTGCTTCGACAATGTACGACCTCAAGAGCAAGTTGATGATGGTGGCTTCCGTCTCGGTGTCGTGACGGAGAGATGCAGTTCGCTGCAAGCCGAGCAACTGAGTTCGGATAGCGGTGAGACCACCTTCGACGCGTCCGCCTTTGGCCTTTGCTTGCTCAGCCTTGAGCTCCTCCGCTCGACCGAGGTAAAAGATCGTCTTAGCTGCGAGATGGTCGAGTGTCCTTCTGTTTTGTGCGGTGATGGTCGAGATGCAAGCGACGGCCTCGTTGGAGGCAGCGTCGAGCTTTTTATTGTCGATGAGGTGGACGAGCGCCAGCAAGCGGAGGTAGGCGACCAGCTCAGGCTGAGCTTCAGGCAGCCTCTGAGCCGGCTTCAAAGACTGTGTAGACGCGACAGCAGGAGCGGCCTTGGCGTCCTTCTCAGCTTCCGCCTTGGGCTCGGCAGTATCGATGTCCATGCCGTCGCCAGCAGGAGCAGACGCAGCAGTGGTCGAGCTGGCACCATTTGCGGCAGGCGGCTCGGGCTTGTATGGCTGAGGCAGGAAAGTAAGAAGATGCTTTTGGATCGATGCGTCGTCCTGGTTGCGGGCAAGGATGCCTTCCTGCACGGCAAGCGCCAGCACCTCGGGATGAGCATTCACCTTTCTCCTGACATAGGGCAAGGTGCGCAGCACGCGAGCGGTGAAGCGTTGTTCGATGTGTGAGACGCTGCGCTCGATCAAGAGGAAGTTGTGTCGGAGCAGCGACAGGAGTTGTTCCTTCTCGCTTGGTCGCTTGACCGAAGTCTCGGTCGTCTTGGCTGCAGAGGCAGCAGGAGCCTCCTCCTTGGTGGCTTTGACTGGCTCGGGCATTGTCGACGACGATACTTATAATTGAATGAGGTCGTCGTCGGTGTGTGTGTGTGTGTGTTGGATATGACGCGAACTTGTGGTGAGTGATGTAGGTAGGAATGAAAGGTGTTGGTTTGCATTCTGTGCTGCAACGCCTTCTCCCGCTGAGACGCGCGGTCGAGTCGATCACAACTCACCAAACTCGATTTCGCAGCGTCTTAGGCGGTCAGACCTCCACCGCGCAAATTTCTCTAGGAGCGTCCCTCATGCCAGCTACGGCCTAACAGACTGAATTTAAGCGCCTTCACCAAATCGTTCTTCTCAAGATTATTTGGGCCTTGTCCACTATTCACGAACAGCCAGCTCAACACTCAGATGACCTTTCCTAATGAGAGAACGACATGCATGCTTGCAAGGGACGAGTACAAATACAGATGAGTTCGAAACTAAGGGGAACGACAATGACAGTGCTAGATGATGGAGCAAGTGACAAGCGGCGGCTGGATTGCTACGAAGGTGAGCACCGGTCCCGTCAGAACGCTTCTGTGCCGACCAGATCTGGCGTCTCATCCGCATCGTGATACACCGATGCGATGGAAGGCTCTCTCTTACGCGACGGTCTGACGCTTCCGTATTTAGTGGCAGGAGGCGTGTCGATGGTGTCCGACATGACCGTCTGGTCAGTATTGGAGGATCGACGACCATCCTCCGAATTGTTCGAGCTGCGAGAAGCGGCAAGATCCACTGATGCATTCAGGTCGTCCGTATCCTCGAATTCGCCATCCTCTGAGCCCGACGACAGATCGGGCGAGCAAGGCGGAAGGGGAGCAGGCGCCGTCGAGATAGGTCTGAGCCAACCGGCACCTCGCCAGCCTTTTGAAGCAGCTTCGGACGGCTCGATACCGTGGTTGCCCTTCGACAGCCTCTCACGGCCAGAGACACCTTCGCTGTCGCGCAGGGGCACCGCGCCCGAGCTCGAGCTAGGTCGAGATGCCGACCGGGTCGATCTCGCGGCGTCTTTGGCGAATTGCCCAATCGCTCGGCTGGTTCGTTTGAGCCGGTCCAGACCCACAGAGGTGCTGTTCGACAGACTCTGAGGGATCGAGAGCCCAGCCTCGTAGACAGACTTGAGGTCGTTGGAGCTGACTTTCTTTCCAGGACCTGCAGCGCTCGTTGTAGACGAGAAAGACCGGATGCTGGCAGCGTCAGCACCTTTGATCGAAGCTGCCTTTGACGATGCTGGATCCGCAGATGTCGAGACGATTGGTGGCGAAAGCATCGCCTTGCCAGGCGCCTCGGCTGCTTTGATCTCCGTGTCCGTGGCAGGTCCCTCCTTGAGGCCATTGGTCTCAGCTTCGGTCTTGTGAAGAGCAGCGACGGACGAGGCAGCGATTCCGGCGGCTCGAATCGGAATATGAGGTGCTACGACGACCGAGGGTGGCGGAGGCATGGCAGCTCGATCGCGTTGCTCCTTGCTATCGAAGGTCTCGGCCACTGGGGTGGTGTCTTGCGATGACGGATCTGGCTCGTCTGGCTCATCGCCGCCCAGCTTCCATCGCACAGCCGAGAAGCGTCGGAACGACGAGCGTGATACAGCCCGGGGCCTTGTGGGGATGGCTGCTTCGCTGTTGGTCCGCTGGAGGGCGTCTGTCGAAGCGGACGGTGACTCGACTAGCGGCTTGCCAGTGTCAGAACCGGGGACAGTAAGATGAGTGCTCCGTGGCCTGTCTCCAGCCAGACTCTCCAGGTCAGTGGTGGAGCCGCTCTTGTTGTTCTTGATGCCGCACTTCTTGTCTTTGGCCTTGTCTTTTCCCTTGTCCTTGTCCTTCGACGAGAATCCCAAGCCGAAAGAGAAAGTGCGCTCGGGCTTCTTGGGACGCTGAGAGGCAGAGCTGATGGTGCGGCGACGATCGCGAGTCCGTTCGGGAGATCGGCTCGCCCGACGTCGCAACTGTCCATCCAGCGAGTCGGTTGCGTTGGCAGCATGCTCGCCTCTACCACCGCGGGCGGCAGCGGCCTTGGCAGCAGCAGCTTCGTCCTGCGCGAGACCGTTGTGACTGCCGCCGACAGGAATGCCCTTGAAGATGGCATCGACCAAGTCCTCAGGTGCACGATCCCCCTGATTCCGAGCCGAAAAGATAGACGCCTCTGCCGTGCGGTGCGGTTTCTTCTTGGCACCTTCAGAACCAGAAGCGACCTTGTCGGGAGCGACCAGGTTGTCCTCCGGGATGCGGTTCGTCCACGTCTTTTTGGTATAGACGTACTTGCTTGGTGGACCCTGGAAGTTGTGCCGTGATTGACCATATGAGTTGAGGCGATTAAGAGAGAGACTACTGGCACTAGGCAAGCCTTGACCCATGAGCTCTCGGTTGCGGATGGAAGCGTTGGCGCGAATCGGCTCATTTGCGAGACTGTCGCTGCTGTTGGAACTGACATTGCCTGAGGATGACGACTTGCTGGGAGATGCAGCTGTGGCGGTGTCGTGACTAGCATCGAGCAGCGAAGGAGCCATGATCGACCTCAAGCCGTTGACCATGAGGCCGTTGGAGATGGGTGGAACATAGTATTCCCTCTCTCCGCCGAGAAAGGTCATGCTTACGGTGAGCTTGACCGTCGCATTGGTCTTGCTGCCATTCAGCAGGAACTTGCGTGTTTCAGTACGACAAGTGCGATCACGATACGAGTGCTCGCCACCTGCTGCGTGGTGCCGGTGGTGTTGTTGATGGTGGTGATGGTGGTGGTGATGATGGCGACGGCGTCCGCTCGAACTCGGGATGGGCGCTTCGGGTGCAAACTCGGCGAGGTCGAGAATGACATGGCCCAGCACAGAAGGGTGAGTGGTTGATTTTGCGTTGGCTGGCATCTCTTGCCTGATGGTCAGCTTGAGTTCTGAATTGATCAGGCGACCCCAAGCGGTAGACATGTCTTCGAGATGCTGATCACGATTAGCTCGTGAACGCAGATCCTTGGTGCTGGACTTGGCAGACACAGCAGGACTGTCGCGGCGGCTGCTGTTCGGAGACGAGTCATTGGGACCCGAGGTCCTGGGCTTGCCGATGCCAATGCGCATGCCGACCTGAACGTCACGCTCCCATTCCACCTTGTGGTCCGCGACCTTGACAAAGTGGGTCTCGCCTTTGGGCTCCTGGGAGAAGAAGAGGAGCGGATCGACATCGTGGGTGTGATTGTGCGATTCGGACGATTTGTGACGTCCGATGTCCTTGAGAGATTTGGGACGAGAATTGGTTGTCTTGCGGCTGGTGGTGCTGTCTCTACGAGAAGTAGGGCTGGAGGTGTCTGCTTCTGACGCATCTGCGTTGGATGCAGTCGAGACGTGCGTGCTGCCCTTGTTGGCTGGATCTGACGAATGTGCTGGGTTTGTGGATGATTGCGATTCCGATTGGTCATCTATTTTGGACGAGTCGTTGTGCTGTGTCTGTAGAGGGTGGAGCAGATTGTTGAGGAGAGTCGACTTGTTGGTAGCGGGACGATTCGAACTTTCACTGGTGCGGCTCGGAATGGAAGCAGCATCCGCGCTGCTTGATGTGCTTGGTTGCCGTTGATTGTGAGCCTTTCCGTGAGGTTGACCATTGGATAAGCTGCCCGATGCACCCGATTCATGATCAGTAGCTTTGACGTCCTTGTTGGCCTCTTTTGCGGAGGAGATGGAAGGAGGCTTGCGGGCGGCGCCAGAGACAATACGCGAAGTGCCTTGGTGGACGGCAGCAGCAGCCGAGTGCTGCAAGCTTGCTAAAGAGTGGGATCCCTTGATCTTCCACTTGCAAGCAAAAAGACCGGTGACGAGAGGCACATTGTCGAGTTCATGGATGGTGAGCTGCACATGGAAGTACGAGTGCTTCTGACCAAAGTTGAAAGGCGAGAGCAGCGACATGTTGACGTCAGCCTTGCGGAAGCGGCGTCGGCAGTGTTGCGTTATGAGGAGATGATTTGCGAGATGAGTTGAGGACGAGTGGCAAGGGAAGCAGTGATGGACAATCACCGGACAGCATACATGATGGAGAGCGACTTCTTATAGGCGAAGCGACGTGACCCTGGCGTTGCGATGTGAGCTAGGAGCGTATTGCACGACGCGAGTGTTGGCGTGAGGAGAGGAGGTGGAGCCTGTGGACGGGTGGTGAATGCCAGGGGGTGAGGATGCGGGCTGAGGCGCGAGGAATGAGGAGGAGCAAATGCAAGCTTCGAGTCTTGAGGTGATCCCGTCTGTGACCCGAGGTGGTGTACCGAGAAGCGTGCAGTGGTATGAGCGAGCGGGCGAGCGATACGATGCGGACGCGAAAGCCTGTGTCGCGTATACGTGTGGGATTGAGTTGGTCCGAGTTGAGTGGGATGATGGAGGTTGGACCTATGAGGAGACTGCCAAGTCTGACGAGTGATGAGGGTTGTGGCAGATGATTGCGTGGAGCATGCAGCTTGAGATTAACGCATTCCGCCTTTGCCGTGGGTAAGGCTGTCTGAGCTGTCCCGACCCTGAACTCAAAGTGAGATTTTGTGCGTGCCTTTGCTCTTGCGTCGATCTCGGACATTAGAAGCGGCAAGCAGCCAAAGCAGGCTTGTGCGTGACGTGACGCAGCGTGCAGCACACCTGCAGCACCCTCGCCTAAAAAGCGCAAACGGTCAGCACAAACGTCACTCGCACACACGCCCATCCTCCCAACTCGCTAGCCGTATCGCCTCCTGTTTCCACAATGTGCACGCCGCACTAGCTTGTCGCAATGGTCAGAGAGTGATAGATCAAGCGTGATGAGGGACTAAGCTTTCTTGGCAAAGACCGTGCAGGAAACGTGCTCTTGACATACGGGCAACGATATCCGCGGAGAGGTGCAGCCGGCCACCATGCGGCTTGCGGCTTCAGACGGGCCGCAGGAAGCCGTTGTCCGCCACGGGCATTGTCAGGGCTCCCGTCAGCCTCGTTTTCCCTCTTCGCCGTCTCAATGGAGTGTGATGACCCGTCTTGGGGCTACGTAAGGAGAGCAGGAATGCGGAACGTGAGGATTTTGAGCAACCGCATGGCATCGACCGCGGAACACACGTCCCGAGAAATGTTTCTCACGGGCAAAAGCGGTCTGGAGCTTACTACGGTGGGTGATCTCACTGCTTCTGTCCGGCTTCGCTCCCCCGCTGCCGTCTGGCTCTTGCTCACTGTCAGATCAAACATCTCATCACCACGTCTGCTGTTTGCAATGCAAAGGTCGGTTGTTCATTCCAGATTCGACCGCTGGTGCGAGATGATGCCGTGACAATGCTTCACTTCCTCGATGCTACGAGCTGCGCTCGGTGACGGCCTCTTCACATGACAGCAGCAGACTGACGACCGCCTTCCTCCTGATCTTCTCTGAGCATCCTCTCGAACGCTGCGCTTGGATTCAGCTCGTTCTCCAGACTCATACTCGGCCTTCCCGACGTGCTTCCGCGCGGTGTGGCCTCGGTCGTAGCCGTTGCTCCTGTCGTCCTTCCGCTTGCATCGGCTACAGACCTTCTCTGTGCTTCGGCCAGATCGCGCGCCTCCTGCTCCTCCGGGTTGACTGTCGTGCCATCCGGGTTGCGGCGACGGCGACGTCGCCTTCGTGGCAGAGTGATGAACTTGGGCATCGCTCGCTTCTCCAGATCCATCGACACGTTGGTCGAAGCCTGCAGCGCTTCGATCCAGTCGACCACATGTCGGTCGCTTCGGGTCTGCAGCAAGAATTGCTCGCCCTCGGCACGAACACGCACCACGTGGCGACGCTTGAGGTAGTCGGCAGCCAAGCCACTCTCCGCACCTTGGAGAGTGTAGTTGCGCACCAGTCCGTGCTTGGTGTCAAACTGCGTCGTCGCTTCCTTGTTCTTGGCTGCTTCGTGGCGGTTCGCACCCAGAGGCGTGTGCGAGATGGCTTCACGCGCAGCGGCGCCGAGCCCCAGTCCTGAGCCAGAACCGTTGGATCCGTCCTCGTTCATCGGTTCCAGATGCACGTGCACGCCCTTCATCTCGCCCCACGTCCCGTTGACAGCGTGTCGCTCGACGCTCAGATCGTTCTTGTAGACTCGCAGACTCGTGCCGTGCAGCACAAAGTACTGTCGCTTCCAGCTGCGGTCCTTGGCCTGAACGCCTGGCGCCGAGAACTCCATCTTGCGCGGCAGATACCCTTCGATGTGAACGCCGCAGTAGTAGGTTGGCAGCTTCTCTCGACCTTCCTCCTCTCGAGGCAGAATGATCTGAGGGCCCTCAGGTCGATTGTGAATGATCGAGTATCCTGGTGGTTCGGCTCGCATCTCAAACATGGATCGGCGGCGTCCCAAGCTGGGCGTAACGGGCGTTGCGATCGAGGCGGGCGCGGTGAGTCCCGTATTGATCGGCGCCAGCCCATCCTTCTTGCTGTACGCCGGAGCTTCGGACGGCGGCCGAGGCGTCGTCGGGGAGCGTAGTGCTTCGATGTTGGATGGCTCGTTGATCGTCGGGCGAGTAGGCGATGGTGTTGCAATCTCAGCTCGTCGCGATGCAGGGCCCAGCAGGTCCACCAGCGATTGCGACTTTTGATGGTAGAAGTTGGGTCGAGCCGACGATGGTGCCACGCCGTCCAAGCCCACCAACGGTTTGATCGGCTTCCTCGGGCTTGAGGTCGCCGATGAATCACCTCGCTGCGTAGGCCTTTCCCATCCTGGTCGATCCATGCTCGCTTCTCGACTGACGTTGCGCTCGCTCGCTGGACCTTGAAGCGGCGTCAAAGTGCCAGAAGTGCTTGGTCGGCTGCTACCTGGTGCCTGTGCTGGAGACTTGCTGCGATCGGCGCCAATCTTGGCCGGCAATCCGGAAGCGATCGAAATCTGTCGATTCAATCCAAGCGGAGGCAAAGTGCCCACAGGTGGCGGCATCGAGCGATTGGGAACCGGTCCCGAACTGATGGCGGCGGTCCCTGGTGTCCTGAGCGTACGCACGCTCGCTGAAGAAGGAGCGCGCGATCGGCTGATAATGGACGGTGACGGAGGTGGTGCATCGCCGCTCATCGTGCCTGCTGTGGTAGCACGGCTGCTGTTGCTGGTGCCTGGACGAGCACTGAAATACGATGATTCTGACAGCTCCTGCCGAGCTCGGGGTGTTGGGCCGGCAAGCCCTCCGTTGGTTGCGTTGCCGCCCATGCTGGGCGTTGGCGTCTCAAATGGAGTGAAGCCGCTGGTGTTGAAGCTGGTCCAGCTTTCGCGCCCGACCGCCTGGCTGGAGTCCGTGCTACCAGTGGATGGCGTGGCGCCGCTTGTCGATGCAGCAGCGTCGGCCTCCGACTGTGCGAGGGGATGGCTGATGTTGGGAACGAAGGTGGGAGCTGGCGGCAAGACGAGCGACTCGGTAGGACGATTGCGGTGGAGCCCGCCTGAGCTACCCGTGAAGGCCATGGGCGCTGCCGATACCCTGCGACTGACGGCAGGCGAGTTGTCGTAATCGGTCTCGTCGTCTGTCTCGGTCTCATCCGGGTCGTGATAGTCTGAGGTCTGTCCAGTCACATCGGCGTCCTCTTCGTCCTCGCTCAGCTCCTGCTCTTCATCGCTGGTTTCGGCTCTCCTTGCGTTGCTGTCGGTGATGCTGTCCGATCCTGCGCGCGCGGTGCCATCACGACCGTTCTGCGAAGCGCCCGAGATGGCGCGCATCGAGTTGAGACGTGGCAGATGCGACAAGGCGTTGCTGGAGCGGCCAGGCCTCTGGCGCGAGGCAGTCGAGTCTGTGCTGGAGTAGGCGTCCGTGGCGATGGACGACGGGCCGCCCCTTCGTGCGAAGCTGTCTGCGACCGTGTCGGTGGCCTCTGCAGCGTCTTGCTCCTGGTCGATACCTTGAGAAGGACGACGTTGAGACAGGATGCTGGAAGCCAGGTCGGTCACGGCTTTAGGCTGCGCTGGAGTTCCGTTCGCAGCCGCAGAACCAGGATAAGCGGGGATGACTACGGTGGCGGGGTCAACGTCGTTGGGCGCGATGTCGGCATGAGAGGGAGCGCCAGCGTTGTTGGGAGCGTTCCAGTGGACGGTCGACGACATGCCAGGGTACGCGACACTGCTTGCGGATGCTGGTGCCTGCGAGTCAAAGATCCCGTTGCGGAAGACGGGCAAATCGTTCTCACGAGGAGAAGTGGATACGATCTTGGCCGCGTCCGATTGGGTGTCGGATTTGCTGTTGCGACTCATCGTCTTCTGCATGAAGGTACGTGCAAATGATCCTCTTCGTTCGCCATTGGTGTTGTCGGCATTCGAGCCGGTGCTAGCGGCGCTTGCACGACGCAAGAAGTTGAAGCTGGGACGACGACCCGACTGAAGCGATGGTGAGGATGGCTTTTCGGGCTTGATTGCAGCCATGGCTATTGGCTGCTGCGATCTGGTGTTGAGAGCATAGATCTCGGCGCTGGTCAAAGCGGTCGCGCGCGGAGCTCGCTCGGACTCGAGATCAGCGACATTGGGACGAGGGAGGTGCAGGCTCTTGCGTGGACGATGGGCCTCTTCGCGGGCGAGAGCAAGGCTGTTGCGACCTCGCGCCTGACCTGGATTCAAGTTGAGCACGTCGGTGGAGGCTGATGCCCATGGCTGCATAGAGTTGCGCAAGTCACTACTGTCCTTGGGAGCAGAGGGGCCATCTCCACTTCGACCGATTTTACTGAAGCTAGCGAAGCGCGACCTGGACTTGGTCTCTGGTGACGACGGCGACGATTCCGCAGCGCTGCCTCGACGACTGCCGCCGATGCGTGAGAAGAACTTGGAGGCGGAACCGGCGATGGGAGACGATGTGTGCCGGCTTGCGTTCGCATCGGCCGCGTTGGGAGGCAGACCGTTGCCAATGCCTGCAAAGGAAGCCCGTGTCGAATTGGATGTCATCTTGCTTGTCGAGGAAAAGGGAGCAAACAGAGAAGACCTTCGCAGATCGAAAGAGACTCGACCTGATCCTCTCGCAGATGAAGGGGTCGGCTCGGGCGAAGTGGTTGCAGAGGTCAGCGACGAATGCGGAGAAAGCGGACTGAGGCTTGAGAGGGCAGACTCGGTGCTGCTATCACGACGACTGGTGTTGGTCGAGACGCTATGGCGAGCTGCTGATGCAGGAGGAGAAGGAGGACGAGCTGGGACGTGATCGAGATTGGCGACGTCGTTGATGGATGCGAGAGCTGATGCAGCGTTGAAGGAACGACGCGATGAGTGGCACGGTCCTGAGGAGTGCGGCGGGGTGAGAGGGAGCACGCTGCCGCCGGTGCCTTCGCCTTGGGGACTCGTAGTGCGAGCTGCGGTCGAAGAAGCGGGGTCGGATGGAACAGCACCCGATGCGCTGTCAAAATGAGCTTCTTCGGATGATAGCTGCTGGCTGCTCAGAGGGTGGGCGGAGAGCGAGGAGGCATGCTGAGACTCGGAGAATGCTGACGAGGTAGTGGGGTTGAGCAGAATGGAAGGCCGAGGCAATGCAGCGCTGTTGGCTGAGAGCCAAGAGCTGGAGCTGGACAGGAGCGGGGCTGTCAGCTTCAAGGTGCTCTGTGAAGGGGTTGTCGCAGCAGTCGTAATGGCCGTCGCAATGGTGTTTGGAGTCGAGGGCGAGGTGAGCGTGGTGACGTTGGTGGCCGAGGATGCCGAAGAAAGGGTGGGAGGAGCTAGTGCGACGCTGACAGGTGATTTGATGCAACAGGGATGTGCGCGCTGGGACAAAGAGGACGGGAGGACAGCGGCAGCTGCTGCGGAAGACAAAGAAGTGGAAGAAGAAGAAGAAGCGAGAGAGGTAGGGGCGGCCGTAGCACCAGTACCAATAGCACCAGCGTTGTCGTCGGGAACAATGACGGAAGCTGGATCCGAAGTCAAAGGCGTCGAGGGAGCAGTGGAGTAGGTGTACAAGGTGTGGGAAGAAGAAGGGTCTTTCAGCAGCGGCTGCTGACCGGAGTGAGGCTGCGTGTGATGCTGCAGAAGCGATCTGGAGGGGAAATCAGAATGCGGGCAGGAAACGGGCCGCTCATCAGAGACAGAAAACTGTGCTGGCTGGGGCTGAATCGTGGACCCGGTCAACAGAGGGCGAGAAGAGTGAGGAAGCAGAAGCGCATCATCCTTGTGAGCGTCTTGTGCGGCGATTCCTGCACAGCCGGGCTGGAGAGGTGCGTGTCGCGAGACTGCTGCCACACCACGCTTACCGGCATCTGATGCTGATGCAGGAATAGCAGCAGCGACTTGAGCAGCAGCAGCGTCGTTTGTTTGCTGTTCTTGCGGCGGCGGATGGGTTTCCAATTTTGAGAAATTAATGGAAAATCCGTTTGCTTTGCCGATCGGACGAGTATCTCCACTTCTCTCGCTTGCGCGTGGCAGTGTGTCTGCATCTTGTGCATCTGCAGCCGAGCTCTTGGTCGAGGGTTCAGCCGTGGAGACGGCAACTTGCTCTGCAGCCGCGGCCAGTGGAGAATGTGAAACTGAAGCTACGGCGTCAAAAGTGTGAACGCCGTGTGCAGCATCATGGGTCGTAGCAGTGGAGGCTCCAGCGTCTGCATCGACTGCCCTTGCTGCACCTGGCACAGGCTGTGGATCATGCACGGCGGCAATGCCGTTGTTGCCTTGGGTGCTGTCGCCGTCATTGGTGCTAACAAGAGTGCCGGATTGCTCCGTCTTGGACCCTGGTGCGGCGAGGACAGGTGTCGGGCTAGACTGAGACGCCTGCTCACGGTTGTGGGCTCGAGGGATGGTGCTTGATGTGACACTCGCGTTGCGATCGGCAGATCCGAAGATGCGTGTAGCCGTGGGAGAGAGTCCCGAGTCATCTTCGGTGATGCCGACAGGGAGACCCAAGAAGGATCGGGAAGAGCGAAATGCCTGCCGAGCTGCTGCGCCCAGCTGACCCGAGCTACGTCGGTGTGCCTTTGGCAGCTGCGTTTGCGGCTGGTACGGAGTGGTTCGCGGGCTGGGAACGGCCGACGTGGAAGAGCTGCTGCTTGGGGTGTCCCTAGCGGAAGCAAAGGGCGGAGATGCCATGCTGAAGTACGAGCTACGTCGGCTTGTCGGTGACTGTCTCGGGCTGGACACCGACGACGATGAAAGAGCTTGCTCAAGGGGAAGGCTGGCATGCGAAGCGGTGCTGCCTTCGCTCGCCCTCCGAAGTTCGTGGTGATCTTGCTGATGATAGCCTGGCGGAGCTTCTGAGGGACCGATGTTGCTCGAGCTGGGCATGCGAAAGTGGCTAAAGAAGGGCGCCGACTGCGACAAAGCGGGTGTAGCATTACCCGAGAAGGCTTCGGCTGCGGCTCCGGTGAGGTCGTTGATGCTCGACTTGGTGAGCTGGGTGACGCTGCGCAGCACCTGACTCTTCTCCCTCGAGTTCATCGACGAGTCGTAGATGCTTCCAATTCCTTCGCTTCCTCCCACGGTTCTGCTCCACTCGTCCACAGCAGCATGCGAGACCGACTTGCCTCTTGGTCGTAGGATCCTGGACAGGTTCGATTTGCGTGTCTGAGCACCCGGTCGAGATGACGTGCTAGGAGGCGACGATCTTGTCGGTGAAGGGGCAGCGCTGACGCCTGGACTGCCTGAAAGCAACGCTGGCACGGCAGGTCGATCTGAGCTGGCCACGAACTCGGCCTTTGTCGACGCCATACCGATAATGCTGGGAGGTCGCTCCCGTTTGGCGCTTAATTTGACCTTACGATATGGTCTACTCGTGATGCGGTCCGGTGTCGATGATCGGTGTTCTTCCCGCCTGTACAGCGCGCCTTGGCAAGGATCAGTTGGCGGGTGGTCTGCACAAGTGAAAACTTGTACGACCGGCGTGTGTATAGTCTTGTCTAGCTGACTGCGATGGCGATCGAGGGGGTTGGTGTGAGGAAAGAGAGGTTGCAGTACCAAGTGTGAATCAGGAAGGGCCAATCGAGGAGGACCCTTGTTGCGAAGCAGCAGACTTTAGTCAATGCAAGAATTCTTTGCCGAAGATCTCACGAATTCATCCGTCTGGGGCAGGCAAGAATGACAAATGGCACACGAGCTAGGCGCAGTCACTGCACTGCTGTGTTGGTTGGCTACGCCTTTGCTGCCAACAGCAAGCTCTCCATCGAAAAGAAGTTAGCCAGCCCACCGTGCGCAGTGTGGGTCCATCGACTCGGCCTGACTTTGAAATTGTCGCTTGTTGCTTTCAGCAGCCGCTCAATTTTACGCTCTTCTCCACCAAACTATCCGATCTCGAGAAGGAGCAAACATACAGCACCAAATGCAAGCGCGAAAGCGGATTCGACAGGCACTCGGCTAAGCAATCTCGAAGCAACTCGTCGATTGGCCGGCAACACCACCATAAATCCCTTCGCTGAAGACGCAACACTTGCATTGTCTCCTTCTCCGTCATCATCACAGCGTAAGTGGGTTCGCTCGCAGACACGAGCCATCAGCCGATGACAGGCCAAAATGGTGCAGAGACAGGCAAAGAGAGAGATGCACGATCCGGTGGGTAGGTTGCCGTGATGCCGGCCGCGGCGACTTTTCTGGCACGGCGATTGGTGATAGACAATAACGAGAGGCTTTCCAAGTACTGTATGTGGGCTGCTGACTTTGATGACGATCTCGACCCTGTGTTGCCTTCTGATGGTCGCAGCTCGTTCGGACATCGAGCTGCACTCGGCGCCGCCAACCCACACTACGGGTCATCGCTGATCAGGACTGCATCAATGCGCCCAACTCATCTCGAGCAGCGATCAAGGGCCGACTTCCAGCTCGACCCACTGCCGTCGTCATGATGGTAAGCACACTCAGCCGGCCAGCGACCGCGTGCTTGACTATCGAATTTTCGGGAGGTCAAGACAGGAATAGATCCGCTCACCTCCGCCAGCACCGGCGGTGTCAACTCAGAGGAGGGACTACGTCCAATTGGCCTCGCTTGGACTGGAGCGCTATTTTGCATTGCCAAGCGAGCCAACCGAGATCTTCGAAGTTCCTTGGATTCTGGCTCGTCAGGATCGGCCGCTTGTTTGTCACACTTGTCGCGCGAGCAACGCCCTCATTGGCCGCCAAGCCCAGGCCAAGACTCTCCGCTGTACCCCACACACGAAAGCTTACCTAGACCTACCTTTGAGCTCTTAAGTACGGAACGTGCTGGCGCCACCGCAGAAGGATGTCGTACATCATCTGATGTTGCAGTCCAGCTTTCGCGATCAACGAGACGTGCTTGCAGAGCCCAATGGAACGACGGCGTCTTCAGGAAACAGAACCTGGCAACCCATGCACAAGCACGTCAAGTTGACAGCTGCGTCCCCGCCCTGCATTCTTTTGGATCCCGCCGGGGAATTTGACCGAAACTGCAGCACTGCGTCATCCACCAATCCGAAACAATTTTCCGATTTTCGGAAAGATCAACAGGAGGGCTCGTCGATCTCACAATTCAGAAAAAAAGAGGTTCAGGGTCCAGTCCGTCTTCCAGCTCGCTTAGCCAACATCAGCTTCCTCCTCTTCTTCACCTCTTTGCGACAGCACCGACAAGCGGTCTCTCCAGCTCTCATCCTCATCACGGCGCGATTGACGATGCTTGAACCCTTCCTGAAGCATCTCCACGCGCGCATCCGGGACGTCCTCCACCCGACGCTCGTCGCGCTTCTCTGGCTCTCGTTTCTCATCGTCGTCAAGCATGCCTGCCTGACACCGACATCTCTGTCGTGGCGAACGCCGGCGCCGTCGTCACTCAACTCGACCTCTTCCTCCAATCACGTTGGGGTAGACGAATGTTGGGATCTGAGCCAGCTGTGGAAGGATCTCGAGTGGGCGTCGTATCGGATCATCGCTTCGCTCTCCACAGTCACGGGTCTGTTGCTGGCGTTTCGGTCGAACAGTGCAATTGAGCGATGGAGCACGGCGCGGAGGAAGTGGTCCGATGTACAGGCTACAAGTCGGTCGTTGCTACGGCTGCTCGGCGCTTCGCTCCTAGCGCAGGGTTGCGAGGACCCAAAGTCGAACGAGGACTTCGCAAAGAGGCGAGAGAGCCGAGCAAGGGTGGAAGCGACCCTTGCCACAATCCCATTCTTCAGCATCAGCCTGATGTGCGAGATGCGCGGACGGGCGCTGCACCTCCTCCCAGGAGCACAGGAGTCCCTCCTCCGCAGCGATTTCGTGGACGTCCTCCCGCCGCAACTCATCGCCCTTGCAAACCGACATCACGGCGAACCCTCCGCTGACGACTCGGATGGCGCAAGTCAGCAAGAGAAGCGGAAGCAGATCGCCAATCTCAACTCGCCACACATCCGCCGCCCCCCACCCACCTCTCCTGACCCTGGTGCGCCAAACCTCGCCCTTACCTCGCTGATCCTCCTGCAGCAGTCCTTAGACGACTTTCATTCCTCATCTCTGCTCTGTGGCCCTGTCTATGCGCACAGCATCGGCCTGCTCAACAGCCTCTCCTCCCACATGACCGATCTGGAACGCATCCGGGATACGCCCATCCCTTTTGCCGTTTCGACGCATTTCTCGCGCCTGCTAGCGATCCACACGTGTCTCCTGCCGGTAGTGGTCGTCCAGCGGTTGGGCGGGGAGCGCTGGTGGCTGGCTTCTGTGGTGGTCGGGGTGGTGACGACCATGCTCTATGGGGTTGACAGCTTCGCAGCCAAGCTGGGGCAGCCGATGGGGCTGGACAGGGAAGATTTGCCGTTGGAGAGGTATGTGGGGGAGGTGCAGAGGGAGTGGGCGGATGTGCGCGGGTCTTGTGCTGTCAATGGGTAGCAGAATCGTATCGTTATGGAGCACATTGGATTGTGTCTGTGGAAGGGTGTGAGTGAAAGACGTTGAGTGACCAATGGCGGACGGTGCGATGATTCTCCGGCCTCTCGCCCGCCGGCAGCTGAGCTTTCGACGGCTGTTGGTGGAAGTCGACATTCACATTGAACAGTATCCCTTTTGTGGCCTGGTAGCCGACGAGCAGTCCCAGATACACCTTGTGTTCGGGCCTCATCTGTCCCGGTATACTGTCCAACAGCCCTTCTCCTTCCCCACCGGTTATGCTTCCGACATCGTACCAGCGCGCCTCGACCTCGTCACTGGCCATAACTTCCTCCCGCACCATCTCAGAGTCCGTGGTGAACACTGCTATTCGCACGCTCTCCCCGCCTTTCCCTGGCACCTTGATCCCGACTTTCCCGACGAATTGCACTTCCTGGGGCCCGAGCTTCACCCCGACCTCCTCCCGCGTCTCCCTCAGGATGCACTCCCGCGCTGTTTCCTGGGGATCGACCTTGCCTCCGACGCCATTGTGCGTCCCCGCGCCGAAGCCGCGTAGCTTGCGCGCCAGCAGAATCTGCGTTGAGCCCTCGTCCGAGGGCCTGCGGAATGCGAAGAGGAGCGTGTGCGTGTATCCCTCGTCCTCGGCTGACGGTGGCCGTGGCTGTGGTTCGAGACGCACTATGTCAGCAAGGGCTAAACGTTCGGCGGTACCCCAGTACCAATCGCATGAGGGCAGCTGCGTGCCGCTATACGTCTCGACGCTCTGCGACATGGTGGGTGAGAGCGAAGGGTCTGTGCGCGTCTTACGACCTATTTCACCAGCCTCAAGAAGGCGCTCAGCAACGCTACCTCACAGTCTTCATGCTCATCGCGTCGCACATATCTGAGCACAGACACAAACGAGAGTCTAAGGAGTGGGGTCGCTGTTCCATCTATCAATCTCTAACACATTTCAAAGGTTGGCCTTGGGCTCACCCTCCTCTACACCCGTCTTCCTCAGCACGCTCTCAACCACCTTGGCCACCTCCTCCCCCTCCTCGGCGGGATCCTTGGCGAGCTCATCGAACGACTTGACCGGCATTGCGGCCTTGGAGGGGTTGAGCTGCGCCTTGAACGCCGTTGCGTCGGTGACCTCTTGAGGCTTAATTGCGCTCTCCACCACCGCTTGGGGCGCAGGAGCAGCAGCAGCGGAATCGTCCGTGAAGGGGAACTGCGACGCGAGGCTGTCGACGAGCTGGAGCATCTGCTTGACGGCTTCTGCGGGCAGCGGCGTGGGATTTTGAGCCATCACCTGCGAAGCCAGGTCCTTGACGCTTTCGATAGCCGGCTGCTGTGTACGGAGCGTGTCGAAGGCCTCTTTGGGCACAGTCAGGCCCTGCGCGTTAACGGCTTGCTCGAGCGCATCAACCGCTTTGGCAGAGAAGCGAAGGGCGGGCGAAGCAGTCGAGTTGAGGTGCACCGAAAGCTTGCTCCTCGTCGCACTGCTCGGATGGATGAACTTCATGAAGAGGTCCACCACCTCCGCTTTGGTCGTCTTGGTGATCGCCGCGACGTCGGCGTATCGTGCGAGGAAATCGTAGTTGCCACCGAACACAGGCGACCAGAATCGCTGCGACTCCTCCACGAGGTTCTTGACGTTTTCGAGCTTCTTGTGGATAATGCTGCGCTTGTGGCCCTCGAACTCTTGCTCCGTCATCTTCTCCAACGTGCCCTTGAACTGCTCGAGGAAGGCGTCGACGCGGCCTTCGAGGTACTGAGCATCACGCTCACTCTGGACAATCACTCGCCAGCCGAGGCTCCCGATGCTGCGACGGATGCCACTGAATACGAGGTAGCCCAGCTGCTCCTTAGTTCGCAGCTGGTCGAACACCGGCTCGTTGGCGATCTGCGCGAACAGCGAGAGTGGCGCACGCAGCGAGATGTCGGTGGGCTCGCCCACCTGCACGTAGTATTCGATGGCGTTGTTAACGTTGGCGGCGTTGTTGACGGGCAGATTCCAGATCTTGTTGCACTTCTCTGGCAGTAGCAACGATCGGCTCGACAGCAACTCGGTCTTGTTGACGGGACGGGACTTGAGCGTGCTCCAGACCATGTTGGACAGCTCGATAGCTTCTCCCTTGGCCAAGTTGCCGTGCGCCAAGACCTCGAGGTGCATGCGCTGCAGGAGATCGGGCAGGAATGCCTGTACCTCAGCAACAGTGAGCTGTTCGAGCTCGCGCAGCTTCTCGGGAGGCGTCCACATCTTCTCCTGCAAAAGGTACGTCGTGTAGTAGGTGGCGTGGCGGTAAGGCTCTTCAATGGCGAAGTTCTGGTACGATCGCATGACGCGGTCCTTGACCAGCTCGAAGCGGCGGGGGTCGACCTGGAAGGTGGCGAGCTTCTCGACAATGCTGCGTGCCAAGACCGGAATCTTGTCGTTATAGCCGCCCAGCGAAAGAGCGAGCGACTGATCCTGCGAGTCGAGCATGTAGCTCAAACCGGCAAGCGAGGCGTCGTACGAGTACTCGACGAGCGAGTCCAGGATGAGCTCGGTGAGCATGCGCGTCTTGATCGACGTCGATGGAGTGGCGTTGATGAGAGGGTTGCGGAGTACAAAAAAGACGTTGGCCTTGGGCATACCAAAGCGATCGTCGAGCTTGTGCCAGACGCGCATGCTATCATTGTCGAGGACGAGCTGAGGTCGAGGAGTTGGCTTCTTGCCCTTCGCGTCGGCGATAGATCCCTTAAAGTCAAAGTTGGCAGGGATGAACGCGTTACGCTGAGGCAGATGAAGGTCTTCAAACTCGGTGGGTGCCTGAGACAGCAGCTGCGACGGCAAAGGCTTGATCGAGTACTCGGTTCCGTACCACTTTTCCTTGCGCTCCCAAGAGGTGCTACCGTCCGGCAGTGTCTTGGCCATCACGACGACGCGGCAATTCTGCGGTGTGAGATTCTCGAGTGTCTGCTTGATGAGGTCGCGATCGAAGTCACGCGTGAGCCAGCCACCGGACAGAATCCATTCGCGCGGGTAGGGCATCTGCATCTGTGTCGCGGTGCTAGAAGCGTAGTCGGCAGGGTCGATCTTCTCCTTGAAGCGGAACATGAGCTCGCTGAGTTGAGCCACCTCGTCGTGGTTCCACTGCTCCAGGTTGCTGTTGCGAAGCAGATGGATGTACTTGAAGACAGACTCGATCACCTTTTCGTGGTTTTGCAGACCCTCCTGCGTGAGATCGATCGAGATCTTGAAGAACTCGAATCCGTTGGCGTCGCCACTGGCACCTGCTGAAAGACGGTCGCACCACCCTTTCTTTTTGAGATGCGAGAGGATTGAGCCTTCGCCCTCGTGGCCGATGAAGTGGGACAAGAAGTGACCAGGCTTCGATCGGAAGTGAGGTCCCTGATCGGGGATAGGAAAGGCGATCTTGAGTTTGCGCACATCGCGAACCGACTTGGCGAAGATCTGTTTCTGCAGCTGTTCCTGAGTTAGCGGGCTTCGGTCGAAGAGAGGAGGCTCGCGGCCCGTGTTGCGGACGCCCGAGAACTTTTCGATGACCCAGCTGGTCAACTGGTCAAGGTCCTCTCGGCCGAGCACGACGAGCTTCATGACGTTCGCCGAATAGTACTGGTCGTGGAATTTGAGCAGCTCGTCGCGAACATCCATGCCCTTGCTCTTGGGGTCCTCCCAGAGGGTCTGATAGCTGCCGGTGCCGAACTGCGAGTAAGGGTGCGAAGGGTCGGAGAGCGTCTTGTCGAGCTGGAAGCCACGCCACATGTCGCTCTGCAGGTTCTTCTTGTGTTCCGAGTCGACCGCCTTGATCTCTCGCTCAGAGCAAGAGGGATCGAAGAGAGGTTCGAGGAAGAACTGAGCGAAGCGGTCTAGTGCGCCCTCAAAGTGGTCGGGAGAGACGTCAAAGAAGTAGTTGGTGTTGTCCATGCCGGTGTAGGCATTGGAGCCTCCCGAGTGGTTGGAGAGGTATTCGGAGTATTCATTCTCGCGCGGGTACTTCTTAGTGCCCATGAAGAGGAGGTGCTCGCAAAAGTGAGCGAGACCCTGAAGTTCTTCGGGGTCGCTGAGGTGTCCGACGCGAATGTCCATGGCGGCACTTGACTTGTCCGTCTTGGGATCTTGAATGACGAGAGCTTCGAGACCATTGGCGAGTCGGACGAGGCGGTAGCGCATGTCATCTTGAGCGGAGATCTCAAGATCCTCGGTGAAGACGGCGTACGGAGCAGCGGCCTTGGAGCCATTCAAAGTCTCGCGAATCTCGAAGCCGGACGGGAGTCCCTCGAACGGACCAGTGCCGAGTGTGAGAGCTGCTGATGCGGGCGTGGCGAGCTGACGAGACGAGCCAGGAGCGCCACGGACCGAAGATGAGGCGACCATCCTGGCGTATGTGGACGTGTGATTTGGAGATGCGGACGAGAGAGCCGCGGAGGAGAAGGTACGAGTCGAGGGAGCGCGAAGAGGCTTAGCGCACGGGGTGGAACGAGTGATGAGAGGAGATCGCTGAGCAGCGAGCGGGTTCCGCAATGTAGTGCGGAGAAGGGCACGTCGGAGGGGAAGCATACAAATGGAGTCTATGTCGTCCGGACTCTGATTCCCTCGTGTTTGAATAGAGGAAAGCAGACAAGAAGACGATTGACGTTCGGTGGGGAGAAAGAGAAGAAGGAGAAAGACTACGGCGTATAGCCGAGCGGTGGGCAGCTTGTAATGAAGCGTGCTGTCGAGCCGAACGGAGCGAAGATGAAAGGGAGCGAGGACCTTTACGGTTGTGCGGAATGCTTTGTGCGTCTATGCGGTCTCGAGTCGATCCGCTTGTGCTGTCCTGATTCCTGGAAAGCTGTCTTGATGCGCAGCCTCAGCGCCCCGGAGTGGTAGAGCGTTGGTTGTGAGAAAGTGAAAGGGGATGAAGATACTGTAGTTGGAGAACAAAGGGAAGGTGAGATACTTTTTGGCAGACGGAGAACCGCTTTTGCTTAGCCACGCAACCCGAGCAATCGTGCTCAGCTGAGCCTGAAATCTCCGCCTCTGCGCATATAACCTTAATGTTGAGTCGTAAGAACGATACATGGATTGATTTTCTCGGCTCTCGGCCACTCCGCAGAAGCGCTTCGACCCCGGCGTTCGACGTCCCAACACCATCACGACCCCCTACCAATTACAGCATCTGGCTCAGCGAAGCTCTCATTCGCCGACAGAAGCTGGCCATCGGTGCCAATATGACGTCAATAGAAGAGGTAAGAGCCCGCAGCTCGAGGCACGGCATCTTGAGACTCCTGGGACCTGCGACGACTGACTCTGCTTCCCTGTGAATTCTTTCGTTGTGCACCTCCTACTCACCAACAGGACCTCAAGCGAGCGCTGGCATCACTTAGCGAGATCTCCGACCTCAAGACGGCCGCTGAAGAAGATGCGGATGCCTCGTCGCCAGAAGCACGAGCGGCAGCGATGCAACTACTCACTGCATCCACCCCGCTCTTCTCTAGACTAAAGCGGGTCAACCGCAGCATTTACAACGACCTTCAATCGCAAAAGAGCCGAGTAGCCGAAGAGAGGGCCAAGGTCGATACTGCGCGGCTGGCGCTGGAGAACCTCAAGTACGAGGAGAGCATGTTGGAACTGGAGGTCAAGGTGTGCCAGGAGTTCCAGTCGATCTATCAGGACATCCAGCTGCATGACGAGGACGAGTTCCGCCAGCTCTACGCTGCTTCGCAGTCAGATGGCGCTGCGGAGGAGTTGGCGGAAGAGGACCTGGGAGACGACCACAAGCTCATGCTGGCAAGACTTAGATTCGAGTTGAGAGAGCGAAAGAGGCTGGAAGCAGAGAAGCAGAGCTTGCAACAGGACAAGACCGAAGTGGCCAAGGAGAATAGGGAGAAAAAGGTCAAGCTCGAAGAGATCGAGAAGGGGATCAAGGAGCTGTTGGCGGGAGCGAAGGGCCTGCAAGGCATGATCCAGAGCTTGTAGGCAGCAGCGTCGCCTTCCTCAGCGCAGAACGCGCTCGCATACCCTGTATTTGTACGCACGCATCGACAAACATCACGCATCCACGTCGTACCAGCACACACATGCAGACACGCCAAGCAGACAGGTGCATAGACACGCTCATCGACAGAGGTCTCCAGAACGTGTTTGCGATGACAAAATTGCTCAAGTGCTTTCTAGTTCAAGCCGATGCTCTTCCGCACCTGGGCCATTGTCCTACGTGCTACCGTCTGAGCCTTCTCCTTGCCCAATAGCTCCATCTGCTTCAGGTAGCCTGGGTCGCCTCTGAGCCTCTCGAGCTCTGTCTGTATTGGCCTCAGCGTCTCCACGACAGCTTCCGTGAGCGTAGCCTTGAGATGTTGGCCAGACGAAGCTCCACTTGCCTCGATCTCCCTGTTCAGCCGCTCTGCCCATTCCTGCGGGCCCATCTGCTTTTCCGCCTGTTTTCCTGCCACTGAAGCTGCTTTCAGGGCTGCAAGTATCGACAGCAGATTGCTCACGCCCGGTCTTGCGACCCCATCATACGCCAGCGACCTCTCAGCATCCGTGACGGCCTTCTTGATCTTCCTCTCCACCTCGACCGGCGTATCCGTGATCAGGATCCTCGAGTTGGCGTCCGGCGCACTTTTCGACATCTTGCTCGCCGGATCTCGTAATGACAGCACCCTCTTTGTTGGTGTGATGATATGCTGTGGAAGCGGGAAGAACTTCTTGCTGAACTTGCGGTTGTACACGTCGGCCAGATCTCTGCTGAGCTCGAGGTGTTGGATCTGGTCCTCGCCCACGGGCACGTGCGTCGCTTTGTACAGTAGGATGTCTGCCGCCTGCAGGACGGGATATGCGAATAGACCAAGACTGAGGTCTTTGTCATCGATATCGGAGGTCTCAGAGACGTTCTTGGCCGTGGCGAGCTTGGACTTCCACGTGGTCATGCGTTGCAGCTTGCCGAACGAAGTGATGCAGTTGAGGATCCACGCCAGCTCCGTGTGCTCGGACACTTGGTCCTGATGGAAGATCGTGCACCGTTGTGGATCGAGTCCGATGGCCAGGAGCGTGGCCATCATCTCGGACCGCTCGGAGAGAAGCCGTGAGGGCTGCTGCGGCATGGTGATAGCATGGTAGCCGACGATGCTGAAGTAGAGCTCGTCCGTGGTGTGGAGCGAGGCATTTTGAAGGTCGACCCAGTTGCGGAGGGCGCCAAGGTAGTTGCCGAGATGTGGGATGCCGGTCGGCTGGATACCTGAGAAGATCACTCGTGGTCTTGTTGCTGGCTTGGCAGGATCTTGGGCGCCGCTTGGATAGGGCGCGGAAGAGTACCTTCGCGAGATCTTCGAAGTAGACGCTATCGGCGAGGAGAAGGCGGACGCTTGCTGGAAGCCCTTTCGCAGACTCTTGCTTGCTGTGCCTCGCAGCGAGCCAGACATGACTCCAACAGCAGCGTGATGTGAGCGAAGTGCTTAGAGGTTCAGGGTTCAACACGAGCAGAAGGCTGTTCTGAATCTTGAGAAGATCTGGAAAGTTGATCTCCGAGATCCGAGGTGGAGACCAAAGATCAAATGTTAGGCCATTGAGAGACAGCAGCTTGCAATTTTTCCGAGCCTCTGAGGGACTCTCCGTCTTTCACAGCCGTGAGGATCTACCTTCGGATATCACATGTCACAGAGGCAAAGGCCACCATCACGAAGATGTGGCTGCTCTCAGCGGAGCCAAAACGTTCCCGTTCCCATGTCGTGTGACCTGTTGAGCAGCTGAGAGTGAATGGACGTACCCGCTGCTTCCAACGGAAACGGAAGCTGTGAAGAGCTGCGGGGAATCCGGCCCGTGTTTGTTTGCAGAGCAAGACGGGCACATGTTGGCACTCCCGTGCTGGCGAGCGTGGCTACTGGGACTCGAGGCAAGTCAAAGTCCTAGCGTCGGCTGCTGTATGGCTGTCAGTGTGGCTTGAAAAATGATGTGCTACGTGCGTCGATGGTGCACAAACAACTCATTGTGGCGCCAACACGGGATGACGAGCCTCGACGTCGGAAAAATTTGATGCGCGCTGCACAGCGCAAATTCAAATTAGATTTTTGACAGCTGACGGCCTACGGGAAAGCGGCTGGAAAGGCTTTTTCCTTTTCTCCTGCAGGTGCGTTTGGGCGGAAAGGTTTTGCTTTCAGAGGCCGCACTGCCGCACTTGGCCGCCCGCCTGTACCGCCCGCGGTCAGCTGCGCTGTTTCCGCCGTTGAATCAAGCACGGTCATCACCGACAAGCGAGCGCAAAAACTTGACACTCGCTTGCAAATTTTGAGAGCCCGCACAGGCAAAAGTGCCTTGCTTTGGGCGAAGACTGCTTCCTTGCACCATGTGCCCGCCTAGATTCAAGTCCCTGAGCTTTGATCACGGAACGGGGTCCCTTGTTGCCACCTGGTGGCCCGCCCACACGAGACAATGGCTGCAATTGGCTGCACGGAAGCCTCAATTCATCTAATCCGCGTTTGTGCGTTAACCGTTCTGATTGTTCCTGGCGAGCTGCCCTGCAGAATGCCTAAAACCTCGAACCTGGATTCCTCTGTACTCACCCTTCCATCCTTCTTTCCCGACCACACCCATCTGCGATTGTTGATCAAGACTTCCTGAACACATTCGCAATGTCTGCCCTCGAACAACATACCAACGAGAAGGAGGCCCGCACGCCTCCTCACGTCGGCTCTCAAGACGGCTCCTCCAACGAGGACCTTGAGCGATCGCCCAAGGGCTTCAAAAAGGACGGAGACGTTAGGGACGACCTTGTCGAGGTGAGCAGCACCGCCGATTCCGACGAAGTGGCCGCTGCTGCACGCGTCAAGGAAGCCCAGGAAGGCGGCACTATCAAGTACCGCACACTCTCTTGGCAGAAAGCTGCCATTCTTCTATTCACCGAGTACGTCTGCCTGGCTATCCTGGCGTTCCCCTGGGCTTTCAGTTACCTTGGTATGGCCGGCGGTCTTCTCGCTACTCTCGGTGTCGGCCTCGCGGCCCTCTACACCTCACTCATTCTCTGGAGATACTGCCTCAAGCACCCACACATCCTCAACATTTGCGACATCGGATACCAGATCTTTGGCAAGAGCAAGATCGCCTACGAGCTTACTGCACTCGCCCTCGTTCTCAACAATGTCTTCATCATGGGTCTCCACACCCTGACCGGATCAGAGATCTTGAACACGCTTTCCAACCACGGTACCTGCACCGTCGTCTTCTCGATCGTCATTATGCTTGTCAGCATCCTGCTCACTCTCCCTCGAAAGCTGGAACAGCTTACTGGCTTGGGAATCGTTTCGGCCATCTCGATGTTCATCTCGATCATGCTCGTTTTGATCTTCACCGGCATCCAAGGACCCAATCCTGCCGTCGAAGACTTCGACGCCCCTGTTTTCATCACTGCTTTTGCGCCCAAAGGGACCACTTTCGTTTCGGGCTTCGGCGCCTTTTTGAATATCGTGTTTACATGGATAGGCAGAGTATCACAGAAACAATCTCCCCTGACGCACCATCTTGTCGCCGAGATGGTGCAGCATTCGATAGAGCCAAAGAGGTCGTATGAGCATCTGTACTGACTTTTGATTGCCTTGTTCGCGTTTATTTCTCGACAGGTCACATTATGTACCCCACCTTCATTGCCGAAATGAAGGACCCGCGCGAATTCCCTAAGGCGCTGTACGCCGTAACAGTGGCCGAATTCGTCCTCTTCAGCGTCACGGGCATCGTTGGCTACCGTTACACTGGTCAGTACACCACCGCTCCTGCCGTGGGAACGCTCCGACCGGTCTTCAAGAAGATCGCCTTCGCCTTTGTGCTCCCGACTACGATTATTATCGGCGTCCTCTACGCGTCAGTCGTCGCCAAGTACCTCTTCAGCCGACTCACCATGGGCACCAAGCACTACAACAACCACACCGTCCTCGGTTGGACCGTCTGGGTCGGCTGTGTCACCGTCACTTGGGTCCTCGGATGGGTCATTGGGGAAGCTGTGCCATTCTTTGGCTCCCTGCTCTCCCTGATGAGCGCTCTGTTCGACTGCTACTTCGGGTACATCTTCTGGGCGTTCGCCTTCTTCGAGCTCAACAAGGGTCAGCTTTGGGTCGGCCAGCCCTGGCTGCGCAAGGTCGAGACGGCTTTCCAGTACGTCCTCATCCTCGCAGGACTCTTCATCTTGGGCCCAGGCCTCTACGCCTCCGTCCAGTCCATCATCGACAACTATGCCACCGGAAGCATCAAGGCCCCCTTCACCTGTGCTAACAACGCACTCTAAGCGATGCTGCTACGGAGGGAAGCTTTGCACTTCATCTTGACGGCTAGTTCTCTGTCTTGCTCTGTACAATACTTTGCTCTCGTTTTGGACATGTGCAGTCTTTGATTCAATGCCGTTCGTGATGCTGATGCTGAGGACATGAGACGAGCCTCCTCGTCGTGCGACGTAGAGCGACGTTGACTTGCCGAATGCCGAGAGGCGATTTTGGAATTGTTAGGCCGCCATCAAGATCAAGAACCCCGAGCTCTCTCGGGCAGGTTCACACAGGCAGGCTCACACACACTAGGCAGTCTCACACAGGCAGTCTCGCACAGGCAGTCTCGCACAGGCAGTCTCGCACAGGCAGTCTCACGCAGGCAGGCAAACGTTCGTAGCCTGGCAACAGCACGAAGCTTTTGACGGTGAGTGTACCATACAAACGCGTTTAGCAGGAGCAGTCAACTCGCAGCAGTCTCTCTGACCGGGCTGAACGATTTGAACGGGTGGTTCGAGCCTCGCAAGCTGGACATGTACGAGGGCTCTTCCATGCCATCCGCTGCTGCTAGCTCTGCGTCCACCGACTTTGCTGCTGTGGTCGAGGCCGAGTTCCTATCAACGGGCGATCTTGTATCGCCATTGGAGCTGTCAGCGTCCTTGATCTGACTGGACGGAAGGGACGAGGTCCGAGGTGCGGTCTGCGTAGACGAGCGGACGCTCTGAGCCTCTGCTTTTGCAGCACTAGCCATCTCCGCCTCAGCCCTATCCTGAGCGAGCCTCGCAAACGCCAATCGGTGATACGTATGCATGCTCTGCACGAACTTGCGTCCGACCGGATGACGGCAGAGCCTCAAGAAGAAGTCCACCACAGCATCCCTCGCTGCCGGCGAAGGGTGGAACAGGCCCAGCGCCAAGGGCAGCAACCCTCCCGTATGTGGTGGTAGCAGTGCCAGAACCTCAACAATCTGATCGTGCGTCACTACGCTCTTCGCAATTGTCTCGTAGATCAACTCCGCCTCTCCTGCGAACAGCTTCCGCGCTCGCCGCAGCCGCCCGATCTGATGCGCAACGTCAAAATCGCGAATGGCACGCGTGTAGCCGCCGTGCTGGTTGAGCTGCTCGACAAGCAGACGGTACGCGATGGTGGAGCGGAAACCCTCGATGCGCATCTGGTTGGAGAGGATCTCTCGCATCTCTGCGTCACGATCGACGTAGTTTGGACCTGACCCCAGCTGACCATTCAGGAAAGGCTGACATGTGGGTGCGAGCGATGTGCGGCCATAGAAATGCTCCTCGTGCCGAGTGACGCGCTGAACAAAGAAGAAGACGTACTCTTGGACTCGAGCGCGGATGAAGCGCTCACCGTAGTGGGCTGCAATGGCTGTCTGCAGCTCCTCCATGAAAAGGGCATTGCTCGGGTCGGAACGCGAGTCGGACTGCGACGTGTTGGATCTGTCCCTCGATGCTGGGCCGCCCAGGCTGGATGCTTTGCTGGAGGCCGCACCGCTGGAGACAGCAGCGGAAGACGCAGTGGGCAGAGCACCAAACTGCGCTAGCTCGAGATCGGGGGTCGCCGTGCCACCGTGGGAAGAGACGCTGCCAAAGTTGTTTGACGACGACACGCCAGCGCCATCGCGAGGCAAGGTCGCGGACCGAAGCAACGCTTGCGATGGGGTGCTGGTAGGATGTGGCGCTGGCGCAATGTCCTTGGCCACCTGGATGCGACCCGTCTCGACGTTGAGCAGCACGTCCCAGGCGCGGAGGTCCTCGAAGCGTGGATTGGTAACACCAGCGATGTATCCTGGCACCTTCTCGAGATCGTCGAGATTGAGCAGGTTGGTGTAAGGGAAAGCTCGAGCAGCGAAACCTTGCAGTACGACGCCACATCCGGACCCAAGAGCACAAGCAGCCAGCACAAAGCTGGCGACCAGGTTGGCTGGCTGTCCGTAGCCGAGAAAGATGACGCGCTTCTGCGTGACGAGCGCGTTGAAGAGGACGATGATGGGATGCGTCGACGGTCCATTGGTGTGCAAGTGGGGATGAGTCGGTCCTGTCGGCGTGGACTGAGGACCCGAAAAGGTCTGGATGAGCCGGATGAGCGAGTACTCGCCCACCTCTTCAGGGAAGGTGGTGAGTGGCACTCTGATCGGCAACGGCACATTGCGATAAGTGAGGACGGTGTCGAAGAAGTGGGTATCACGAGGTCTTGCAGTGCCAGGAAGAGGACTGGTCGGATTCGGATTTGACCTTCTATCGTGACCTCCGGCTGTGTTGATTGAAGTTGCAGAAGAGCCTCGACGTGCGCCTAATGGTGGGCGTAACGACACTGCACTGAGCCTGTTTTTGAGCGACTTTGTCTCTGATGCTGTTGTGGAGGTGCTGTCTCTGCGAGGCCGTGTCGCTTCAGCAGCGGTGGCCACTGTGGAAGACGAGCTGGCTGTCTCTGATTGTTCATTTGATGCTGCTGGTAGGGTGCTTTGTGAGCCCGACGCGAGCTCGCTGTCGATGCGAGGAGGTGGGACGAACCGCTCTTCGAACAAGTCCCGACGGTCTGAGCCACGGAGCACGAGCTTCTCTGCTCGGCTGAATGACGGCGCGGCCGAGAGATCCAGGCGATTGATCGCGTCGTATAGACGCGCTAAGCAGTCCGGACCGGGCTCCTTGAAGTAGTCATCCAGAGCAAGCAGGAGCGCAGGCTTGAAGATCTCGATGAAGGGATAGCGAGTACCAATGGCCATGGCTTTGACCAACGCTCCGCGACGCACTGTATTGTCGTGCTTGGTACGGACTAGGTTGATGACGTACGTGAGGTCGTCCGAGAGCCAAGAAGAAGGATCGCTGGAAGCAGCGTCATCGGATCCTTCTGAGGATGCTGCACGTTTGTGACCTGGCGGTTTGAGGAAAAAGAAGGTCCAGTCTTCCGTTCTCGCGTGAACACCGTCCGGAAGCATGAGCTCGGCGAGCATGTGTTCGTCATAGCCGGTCGGAGCAGGGTATTGGTGCGACAAGGTGGAGCCGCGATCGATATCGAACTCTGCCAGCAGGCAAAAGGTGCAGTAGCCATTGTTGCTGCTCATGGCTGTAGAGGCAACAGCCAGTTCGCTCGCGCTGTCATCGATCGACATGGTGGGATCTGAGCAGAGTCTGCACA